ACACAACATATCCTCTGTGAATACCATTGTTTTACTTGTTCCCTTTATGCTTTTGTGTCTATATTTTTTCCAAGGATGTTTCATAATATATATTTTATTTGCAAAAAATTCTATGGCAGGAGTAATGCCAAATTTCAGGCAAATATCAGACTAGTTATTCCATACAAGGAACTGATGCTTAAATGGTGCCCAAGCTGAGTACCTTGAACTTACTGGAATGACCTTAGTCAAGGACATGACACATATATTCACGCAATTAATAATATTTGTATGAAGCATAAACTTCCAATTTTCACTTTTTAGAAAATTAAGGAGTGCACATGAATTTTACACTTTTCTTTACATGATACACCTTCAGGCCATAGACAATCTTTAGTTTGAACTGTCATTGTTCCTGGGGTCAAATGCTGGTTCGGGTCTCAAGGGGTGATACTTATGCCACTAGGTCTCACCACTTAAAACCTTGAGTTAATGCCCACCGTCTCTAAATAGGTTCTGCCAGCAAGTCACATGCCACACCTCCTCGTGGTGACCCTGGAAATGCTTTAGTAGCTAAGTGGCAGTGGCAAAAGGTGAGTGTCCGGCGCCTTGAAATAACTGGAACCCGTGGCAAAGGGAAGAGTACCCTGACAGAAAACCACTGGCCTTCCAAGTCCAGGGGGTTGAGCTTAGGGCTAACAACCCTAACTCATAAAAAAGTATTGTTACGGAAACAGTAACGAGGAATATCTCTATACCTGTGAATGAGAGCCTCTCTGGGACCTGCACTGGAACCAGTATGACTGTAGGTAGTGAAAGCCATTGGGAAACTACCAACACGAATAGGGAGGCCCTTAACACGGCCAAGACTAAGATCAAAATAGGATTCTGGAATGTACGTACAATGTATGCAATCGGTAAATTAGCACAAGTAGCAGCCGAGATGAGAAAATACAACCTGCACGTGCTGGGAGTCAGTGAAAGCAGATGGACTGATTCAGGGAAAATACGTACAGGTGAAACATTACTGTATTCTGGTCGAGAAGATGGACAACATCATGAAGGGGTTGCAGTTATTCTCAAAAAGGGAATTGAGAAGTCTTTAATGGAATGGAAGCCAATCAACAGTAGATTGCTAACAGTACGGCTTAGAGGAAAGCAAGTCAACATGACATTATTCCAGTGTTATGCACCCACTAACGATGCAGATGAAGAACATAAAAATGCTTTTTATGAACAACTACAGCAAGAACTAGACAACACACCAGACCACGATATTAAGATCATCATGGGTGATATGAATGCTAAAGTCGGAGCAGATATATAGGATCTCCCATGATTTGTAGTTGGATATGATTTTTATCCAACGAGTTGTGTGTTTTTTATCCCCGAGCCTTGGCGAGGGGATAAAAACACACAACGAGTTGGATAAAAGTCATATCCAACTACAAATCATGGGAGATTCTTTTTATCCCATGTTTAATACTTCACAACCAATGTTTTACACTTTTTTATATAGGACTCAACTTTATTTTACTTCATCGCGCTAACGCAAAAACCATTGTGACGTCACAACTGTGGATTATGAAAAATTTATCCAATGAGTCATATCCATGGGATAAAGGGGTAAACATGGGATAAAATGAACTATACAATAGGGCAATGGGACGACATGGTTGTGGAAGCATGAATGAAAATGGAGAGAGACTTGTAGAGTTTTGTACCACCAACAACTATGTAATTGGAGGAACACTATTCCCCCACCAAAACATTCATAAGTTAACCTGGCACTCTCCAAACATGAGAGACAAAAATCAAATTGACCACATCATGATAAATGGAAAATGGAGACGATCATTATTGGATGTGAGGGTGAAGAGAGGTGCCGATGTTGATAGCGATCACCACCTGGTAACAGCAACTATCAAACTAAAACTGCGTAGGACAGAGAGAAAGAACATGGCAAGGAAGAAATTTGATGTGGATAAACTTAAAGACATCAAGGTACGATATGAATTCAACATCATGCTCAAGAATAAGTTCGATATATTACAAAATTTGGAACCAGAGGACAACATACATGTAACATCAATCGACAAAAAGTGGGAAAAAATTAGCAACATCTACACTGAAACTGGTGAGAAATGTATTGGTTATAGGCAGAAGCATAGGAGTAGAGACTGGATAATACCTAGAACGTGGATAATGATTGACTCAAGAAGAGATGCCAAAAAGAAAGTAAATGAGGCCAAATCTCTGAGACTTAAAGAGAGACATCAAAGGGAATACAGTGAAATAGAGAAGGAAGTGAAAAAGGCTCTACGTGCAGACAAGAGAGCACACATAGATGACCTAGCAACAAAAGCAGAAGAGGCAGCCAACAGAGGAGAACAAGGAAACCTTTACAAAATAACCAAGGCACTGAGTGGCAGGAATAGACCATCTCCCAATCTACCTGTCAAGGACAAAACAGGAAAGTTGCTGTCATCAGAACAAGAGATGGAGGAACGATGGACAGAGCATTTTAAGGAAATCTTAAACAGACCACCTCCAACTCATGAACCTGACATCAGTTATCCAGCAAATGACCTAAACATACGCATTGAACCACCACAAATTCCAGAAATTGTCTCTGCAACACAAAGTCTAAAAAATGGAAAAGCCCCTGGATATGACAACTTATATGCAGAATTGTTCAAAACAGATCCACTTCTTACAGCCACAATTTTACAGCCAATTTTCCATGACATCTGGGAAAGAAACACCATACCAGATGAGTGGAACCATGGAGTCATCATTAAAATACCAAAGAAAGGCAACCTAAACGACTGCAACAATTGGCGAGGAATAACACTGCTTTCCATCCCAAGTAAGATCATGGCTAAAATCATCATCAGAAGGATATCCATAGCTGTAGATGTCAAACTGCGTAAAGAACAAGCAGGATTTAGGCCAGGGCGAGGATGTATCGATCAAATATTTACACTAAGAAACATCATTGAACAGTGTACTGAATGGCAACGACAGTTATATATTAATTTTATTGATTTCGAAAAAGCCTTCGACAGCATTCATAGAGACAGTCTCTGGAAAATTGTGCGGTCATATGGCATCCCACAACATCTAATAGATGTCATCAAGAGTTTTTATGTCAACTTCAGATGCAGAGTTGGAAACACCAGCATCGAGTTTGACGTTAAAACAGGAGTCCGTCAAGGCTGTGTAATGTCATCAACACTATTCATCATAGCCATTGACTGGGTCATGAAGAATACAACATCTGACATTCAGAGAGGCATCAGATGGGGTACATTTACAACACTAGAAGACCTGGACTTTGCTGATGATATAGCCTTATTCTCCCACTCCCACCAGCACATTCAAGACAAAACCAGCAGGCTACACAAATATGCAGGAAGCATTGGACTGAAGATAAACACCAAAAAAACAGAGGTCATGACCCTAAATGTAAACAACCCACAAGCGGTCAAAGTGGAAAATCACATCCTTCCATGCACCAACACCTTTACATACTTGGGTAGCAAAGTAACAACAGATGGTGGAGCAGAGACCGACATCAAAGAGAGACTATCCAAGGCAAGAGCAGCTTTTAACAACCTACATACTGTTTGGAGATCAAGTCAGTACACAACAAGAACAAAGCTGAAACTATACAAAAGTTGCATTCTACCTATCCTTTTGTATGGATCAGAGTGTTGGAGAATGACAGAGAGCGACCTGAACAAGCTGTCAACATTTCATACAAAGTCCCTGAGAAGGATCTTAAGAATATTTTGGCCCAATACCATCTCAAATCAAGACCTTCTCAACAGGTGCCAGCAAGAGGACATGGCCACAATCATCATCAGAAGACGCTGGAACTGGCTTGGCCATGTACTTAGAAGGGACTCGGACAGCATCATAAAGACAGCTCTCTTCTGGACACCAGAGGGAAAACGGAAGAGAGGAAGGCCCAAAGTCACTTGGCGGCGGACAGTGGAAGCCGAACTTAAAGAACAAAAGAGAAGCTGGGACACACTCCAAAAGCTAGCCAGTGATAGACAAGGATGGAGAACCCTCGTTACTGCCCTATACGCCAAAGGCGTCACGGGCAGTAAGTAAGTAAGTAAGTCATTGTTCCTCCATTACAAAGTTCAGACACAAATTTTACATTTATTTGCCCACGATCTTGAACTTGATGGAAAAATCTTGAGTCAAGGTCATGCACACCTTAGCTTATAAGCAATCTTTGTGTCAAGCCTTTATACATCTTCAAACTTTATTTATGGGGTGGGGTGGGGGTTGGTTGGATTACAATTACTATCTCTGCTTGCTTTATTCCTATAATAATCTTGTGAAAGATGTTCATACTGCCTAAAAGTAAAGGTAGGTGTGTTTATTCTGTAATCTTTTTAATTTTCATGACTCATTCTGTGAGAAACTCTGTGCTACATATAACTTAATGGGTGAGTTCCACTTCCTTTGTGATAAAGATTGGGTTGATGACTAGATATATACTACTTAATGGGCGAGTTCCCCTTCCTGTGTGGTATACATTGGGTTGATGACAAGATATAAGTAACTTACTGGGTGTTTTCCCCTTCCTGTGTGGTATACATTGGGTTGATGACTAGATGTATGTAACTTACTGGGTGTTTTCCCCTTCCTGTGTGGTATACAATGGGTTGATGACTAGATATATGTAATTTACTGGGTGTTTTCCCCTTCCTGTGTGGTATACATTGGGTATATGACTAGATATACATAACTTACTGGGTGTTTTCCCCTTCCTGTGTGGTATACATTGGGTTGATGACTACATATATATAACTTACTGGGTGTTTTCCCCTTCCTGTGTGGTATACATTGGGTTGATGACTACATATATATAACTTACTGGGTGTTTTCCCCTTCCTGTGTGGTATATATTGGGTTGATGACTAGATATATGTAACTTACTGAGTGTTTTCCCCTTCCTGTGTGGTATACAATGGGTTGATGACTACATATATATAACTTACTGGGTGTTTTCCCCTTCCTGTGTGGTATACATTGGGTTGACGACTCCAGCTGCTGTTCCTGTAGCTTTACTCAGACTGGAGGCGGCCATACTCTCTAATTCCCACATGTCAACATTATTCTGTTGCTGCTTGTCATTCTTATCCTCATCATCTCTGTGTTTCAAACAACAGCAATGAAATTAAATCCCACATGAAATCTTCATGACTATATATTGTATAAGGTTACTTTCGAAACAAGGAATTTCAATGCCCACGGAACCTTTTTAGATGACAATTAAATCAACAAAATTTTATCCCCATGAAAATTTGTGCTTCTACAGTAATTTGTGTTGTTTTATTTTTGCAATTCTCATAGTAGTTTAATAACGTTATCAGTATTTCCGTTAACGCATATCTCTGCCTAATTTACATATAAAAAATACATTTTACCCCCTAAAATATCACCCAAAGGGTCATCATGATGCAGAAAAAATATGAAAACAAATTTTAAAACTTCAACATTGTTGCCTTGATGGAACCAGTTTATAAATTTACATTCCAACTTTCTATAGTAATAAATTGTTGGTTTAATTTCAAAGTGGCAGTGAATGGAATCAGGAGTCCAACGTCAACAATCTATTAAATATTTTTTTAACAATCTATCTAATTATTAACAAAAGCAAAAGTCCAAATTAAAAATATATACATCTGACATTGGCATATTTATTTCAGCTTGACTTTATCAAAAAGGCTAATGATGGCAATAAAAAGGTGAGAAAAGCTCAAATCATTATACAACAGTTCTGCAAAACGTTTAAACTACTTTCAGATGTTCTCTTTTGATTGACATGTATTCCGCGAAAACCCAAATGGCAAAATCGGTAAAATGTGTAAATAAAAGAAGAACAATAATTTTTTCTTTCATTTTTTAAAGGTCAATTATGATTTTAGAAAGCATAGCTATATAAGAACTGAAAGCAAAACCAGAATATATTTTGACTCTCAAAAATTTTCTTGACTCCCAAAAGTTTACTTCAAAGGGTCATAATTGGGGACCCTTGGTTTTCAAAGTTAGCGGAAACACTGGTTATCTATGTAATCTATATGGTTTACAACTGGTTGTATTTTATTTGAACTTATTTTCTGTGATCCAAATATTCTCAATTGAATTATCGTGAAAATAACCCATTACATGGTATCTCACTTAAACATACGACAAACCCTTTGCAATATCTCTTGTGACAGGTGTGTGTGGTACTATATGCATAGTGTCAGAAAATATATATATTGATGACATCTGCCATGACCAAGGTAACTTTTTTCTGTCAATTCATTTGTTAATTACATGTATATAGTTTGACATCCTCTGATATAAATCTAGATCTATGGACTTACAACAGTTCAGTGTTGGTTTTTATCATATCTTCACATGGTATGGTAAGAGCCTGTTTTTAGGATCTCATTCTGAGGTTCTGAAACCTGTCACGTATGACAATAATTTTTAAATATAGATAATTCAAGTGTACTGGTACATACTTTTTTGGAGAAGCTAGGATTAGAGCAATTGAGGCTGATCCCCCTATGAGGATAAGGGCTCCAATCACAATCAATGCAATTTCAGTCGTAGAAGTCTTTGAGGAGTGCTTGAGTGGTATTCTCTGAACAGTGACATCATCACATTCTCCGCATGGTGAGGGGTCAACAAGGGCTTTGCAAAATACAGCCGTTATTTCTCGACTTTTGTTCTGAATGATTCTGAAAAATATATAAAAGATGACCCAATATACGTTACCAACAAGCTGAGTTCAGGCTTACTACTTTGCTGCTTATAATTCATCAACAGTAGGACAGCTTCCTCGTAAAATTTAATTGCTGCACATGTACATATCTATTGAAAGATTAAGAATGAATATTCTAAATCAACAGAATTTATTAATAAAAAAAAATTACCCCTGTACAAGATATTTTGGAACCACAAAATTCTTGGTTGGATCAATGCAATGAAGTGTGATATCGGTTCTGTGAAAGGAAAAGTTATACGTGTACATCTGTCTAAATTATTTGCCATGCATAAAAGCATTACAAAAACATTTGAATTCTTACTAAATATTAATTCTTGGTGCAGAAATTCATGTACCTGCATGGTTCAATGCGGTTGTTTTCAATGTGTGTGGTGATTTTTTCAAATTCACATTTATATCCAAGTAATTCATTCAAGTTCCTAGAAATAAACAAACATATTACACAAAGTATTAATTCTAGCATCCATCACAATTGAAGAATGAAGAGGGGCATTATGACTTTCAATTTCATGGGTGGAAGTTGTTTTCTTTTACCCTGAATTTTGTTTGCCCTTCCACTTGAAGTGACAAACATTTTTATTAATCTACATTATTATTTAACTTATCAATGCTAAGTGTAAATGACTGGAGAAACTGTTATAAAATTTCCAAGAATCATAGCATTAACCCTACTGTAAATGTTCTTATTTTAACTGTAAAGCATTTAACCCTACTGTAAACGTTCTTATTTTAGCTGTAAAGCATTTAACCCTACTGTAAACGTTCTTATTTTAGCTGTAATCGTATTTCAGTGTTTTTCATGCTGCTTCTTGACCACTTAATGATACTCCTAGTTGTTCTAGTTCTTGAAATATTAATTCTCACCTGATCTTACCAAATAAATTAAAAACCAAATTAAAAGAACTAACTGTGCTAGGTTGTGTTTGTGCGACATCATTTGATCATTTGCCAAGGGTACAGTCAGGATCATTGAGCTGGAACTGGGCACCACCAACACCTGTATAAAAACAATAGAACAAGTCATGTACTGATAACAACAGAATGAGCAACACTCATTGAGCTGAAACTGGGCACCACCAACACCTGTGTTAAAAATAGTAAAACACGTCATGTACTGATAACAACAGAACGAGTAACACTCATTGAGCTGAAACTGGGCACCATCAACACCTGTGTTAAAAATAGTAAAACACGTCATGTACTGATAACAACAGAACGAGTAACACTCATTGAGCTGAAACTGGGCACCATCAACACCTGTGTTAAAAATAGTAAAACACGTCATGTACTGATAACAACAGAACGAGTAACACTCATTGAGCTGGAACTGGGCACCACCAACACCTGTATAAAAACAATAGAACAAGTCATGTACTGATAACAACAGAACGAGTAACACTCATTGAGCTGAAACTGGGCACCACCAACACCTGTGTTAAAAATAGTAAAACACGTCATGTACTGATAACAACAGAACGAGTAACACTCATTGAGCTGAAATTGGGCACCATCAACACCTGTGTTAAAAATAGTAAAACATGTCATGTACTGATAACAACAGAACGAGTAACACTCATTGAGCTGAAACTGGGCACCATCAACACCTGTGTTAAAAATAGTAAAACACGTCATGTACTGATAACAACAGAATGAGTAACACTCATTGAGCTGGAACTGGGCACCACCAACACCTGTATAAAAATAATAGAACAAGTCATGTACTGATAACAACAGAACGAGTAACACTCATTGAGCTGGAAATGAGTTTGATGATTCTAAGCCAATTATTATTTGAAATATTTAGATTTAGCCTTGAATATTAAAAGTAGGTAAAATTTGTAGATTTTCAAAGATTAAGACATTTTCACTATATATTCAACCCAGGAGCATATAAAAAGATTTTCAAAGAATTAATGTATTTTCACTATAAGAATTAACAGAGCCCTGCCATGCACCAAAGGCCCTAGACCAAGAGGCTGAGAAATTCACAATTTTGGAAGAAGGCACCCTTGCTCAACAAACCACTAGGTATGTTTGCTAAAATACCCAGGACAGACAAGAAGATTTTAAAGAGATAATGCATTTTCATGATATATTCAACAGGGCCTCATCCTAACACTAAAATCCCTGACCAAGGGGCTATGAACTTCATAATTTTGAAATATCATAACCATACAACTAGTTTGTGTGCTAAATAGCCAGGGACAGAAAAGAAAATATTTAATGAATTTATGCATCTTCAATATCTGATTTATAGAACCCTGCGCTAACACCAGAACCCCTGACCCAGGGGCCATTCATGAAATTCATAATTTTGAAAGGGGCACCTTTGTGCATTATAACTATGCACTTTCTTTTTTTGCTTAAAACTCAGGAGCAGAGAAGAAGATTTTCAAAGAAATAACACATTTTCACTATAAAATCAATAGACCCCCCTCCATCTTCAACACCAGACCTGCTGACCCTGGGGCCATAAAGTTCTCAATTTTGGAAGAGGCACCCTTGTGCACCATAACTGTGCACTTAGTTTTCTAAATGTGCAGGAACAGAAAAGAAGATTTTTTTTAAAAATGTCATTCGTTTTTTTTTTTTCACTATAATTATAATTAATAGAACCCCACCCTTACATGAGAACCCCTGGCCCTGGGGCCATTATATTCACAATTTTGGAAGACACACCCTTGATCATCATAACTATGCACTTACTTTGTTTGCTTAAAATGCAGGAGCAGAGAAAAAGATTTTCAAAGAAATAAAGCATTTTCACCCTATCATCAATAGAGCCCCCCTCCCACCAGAAACCCTGACCCTGGGTCACAAAATTCACTGTTTTAGATGACCACTTTTTATAAGCATGCACCTAGTTTATCTGCTAAATATACAGGGAGAGAGAAGAAGATTTTTCAAGAATGTATGCATTTACACTATAAGATCATTAGAGCCCCAAAACTAAGTGCAGAGCCCCTGATCCTGGGGCCAGGAATTTCACAATTTTGGTAGAGGACTCAATGCTTTTTACAATCATGCCAACAGTTTGACTGCACAATGTCCAGAAGTAAAGAAGAATTTTAAAGATTAACACTAATTATGATGGTTTAGTCCCATCCCTCTGGCCCCAACAAGGCAGGGACCATAAAATTTACAATTCACCCATTCACATCCTCACCCATTGATGCTATATGCCATATTTAGTTGAAACTGGTTCAGCGGTTCAAGAGAAGAAGCTAAAAATGTTAAAAATTTACGATCAATGCACGTCGCACAACGAAGGACAAAAACAGAGAGCAATAGGTCACCTGAGTGACTCAAGTGACCTTGAAAAATTCGCATTTATAAGATATCACAAACCAACCCCATATTTTCACTGATACACTGCAGTCATTATGAACAAGCAATAGCTACACCATAATACATGTACATACAATTGCTGAATCATGGTTGTGACTTCATTTTCCTCTTCAGTAGCTTAAATTATTACCTTGTATTGAAATCTCATTTCATATCTTTTTTAGGCTACCATGTATATTCATTCATTTGTTGTATAAGTAAAATATATGATCCACATATTTCTCTCTGAATCTACTCACTTGTTAGTTACCCAGTATATTTGAAAAAAAAATTAATATACAGAATTATCAACAACAATGCTTTTATTCCTATCAAATGCATTGAAGAGATTTATCTATAAACATTAGTGTCTTATAACATGCTCAGACATTTTAGATGCAATGCAACAGTATATAAAATGGCTTAACAACTCATTATTTTAGTGTTGTTAAAAATTGTGCTTAATTTTAGAAATACAGCATTACATTCTAACTTGAACATTTGTCAAGAAATATGTTATTTCTGTAAAACTTTTAAATGGATATCAATAGATAAACAATTCCTTTTCACATTTTTTCAATGAAATGAGTAAAATAAGCTTTGTAAAATGATATTTTACTTAGCAACATATAAGCTATCTTTGTGTGCTAATTAAGGGAGGAAAGGTGCTTAATTCAGCTGTTCTACAGATAAGTAATTAATACTACTGTATCTTTAATCCATATTTTTAATCATCTATCTGTGAATTTTGATTTCTTATGACCATAGTAACTAATCAGAACAATAATACAGTGCCCTGAAGTGTGCTTACATAAGTAAACTCCACCGTTACTCCATAAGCTTCGTGAAAGTGACGACAAAATCTATAGTGTCTCTTTGTGTTGTGAAAATGAAGTCTGCATGTTTATACACGTAGGACTTCTAAAGTTCAGTGGTTTTGCCAAAGTCTAATGACCTATCTCCTATATATGTGCCATGCTATAGAATGATGGCATATGACACACCAAATACTGATAGTGCAGTATTAATGTCATCACAATATTTCTATGTGAACATTAACATCACTACTGTATTTGGTTTTTAAAATCCAACCCCAAACTCTGCCATTCTGCTGGCACCAACTTAATTATTCTTGTTGGGATACTGGAGGAAGGGGTGGTTCAAGTTAAAGGTGATTGTAAGAGAAAGTTGTATACAGTGGCATAAAGTGCATTTATTGCCAAAAGATCTACTAGGACAAACATGCTGCAGTAATCGGTCAAATCTCCATAATTTACTATTGGGTCTGGTGATTAAAATTAGTAATCATAAGTTTGTTCTTCATCATTGATTCTGTTTAATTTCACAATTGGACTAAGTGATCCGCCCAAATATCTTATCATAAGTATTGTAGATTCCTAAATCTATGCAAAGAAATTATTAATGTTTAATTTCATGAAAAGTATTTCTTGCTTAATACGAGGGTTGTTCGAAAAGTTCGTGGACGATGTCAATCTTTGTTATACTACTTCCAAGAAATTTTAAATAAGCACAATATCATGTGTAAAAATATTTGTTTTGTTGATCTGTGAAATTTCATTCCATTCGATTTGATAGAAATTAATTTACTTCATTTTAAAATCAACATGTTCTGTAACCACGGCGCACACTTAAAAGCAAGGTAACATCAAAAACATAGCGTCAAGAGTTTCTTAAAAATTCTATCCCTATACATTCACACAGTATAGTTCAATACCCACGTATTAAAAACCTTTTTCAATCACTTGACATTTATCTTTCTAACAATTGTTCTCATTTTATAATTTCCTTTGTTAATTTTTAATTTCTTTTACCGCTTAACTGTGCTTTCACAAGATCAGCAACTCTGAAGCGCATACGTCTTTCCATGAGGTCCCAACTTTTAAAAGTTTTCGTTCAGATTTTTACAGTTAAACCGTTTCTTCACAGATTGTCCTCGTCCGGTACAGAGTCTCTGTCACTTAAATACCGCCTCTACCATTTACACACACATGCACTACTCGCTTGTGGCATATTTTCCGATTCCTCCGACATTTTTAGCGTTTATTCAGGATTTTCCCCGATTATAACACAAAACTGCATCGTTATCTGCTGCTCCATGACTTTCTACAACGTCATCATTTTTGTCGTTTTCAATGAGGACTACCTATCTTCTCAGAATGATTTCTTTTTACCGAAGCAAAATATTAAGCCATAATTTGGAATACGAATCCATGTAACAGTTCTTAATTTAACCATCTAGGATTTTTTCGTTTTTGCTCCATTTTACAGAGAAGATGACTACAGACATTATTTAGTGTATTGTTTGTAAATTACTAAAGTTTGACCTGCGCCGCGATCCGATTTTCGCAGTTTTTAATTCTGGATAAGTTTTAAATAAATCATGATATTTTTGAAAAATTTACTACAAATCATTTAAATTTATTGTTAAAATATTTCTACCAAATTTGGATAACTTATGACGTTAAATAAAAAAGATATGACAGAAGTCCACAAACTTTCCGAACAACCCTCGTATAGCTATCAGCTTTTACTTTTTCATTGTTGCTGAAATACATGTAAAAATTCTCCATTATAAATTGCAGTCTACTTGCGAATTTATCTTCTCACAATTTGGTGAATACAAGCCATTTTGCAATATATTAATTCAAGTAAATTAAGGAATTTAGGCCATAAAAAATAATTAACAGTTTCTTCAAAATTCAATGTGGCAAGCAGTTCTTTTCTTTTTCTTTTCTTTTCTTTCTGAAGCAAGTACATGATATATACCTTTTTTTCATGTCAGTTGTTCAACAAAATGATGATATCAACTGATTCTTACTTTTTTTGTTCTCTCAATACTTATAATATGTATTCAACTTTAAACAATGTTATTCCAAACAAAGTTAATTCATAAAATACCATATTAAGAAAAATGTGTTGTTTATCTAATAAAAATGTCTATCTATTAGCATTTATGAAAAGGGGATTAACTCAATTTTCTTTTTCAACTTGGAAAAATAGAAAATTGAGTTATTTCCCTTTTCTATATGTCAAAAAAGTTGATTAATGCGGCAGTGTTTGACCTGATGCGGCGTTGCCTGAGAAACTATTAATAAATTTTTTAGGGCCTTACAGTATTTATTCAAAACCATCGGATCGTTGTGTAGGTAGCATAGCATCACATTTTGTTGCACTAGTGAAGACAATTACACTTTGGCGTGTCACATACAAGTTTTGACCATGAAGTTTTAAAAGAATTTGTAATAACCCTTTACCCCACCTCTGATGATTTTTTGATGAAATCCTGGCTTCCGATTGGTTGAAGTCTATCACATGAAGGGGGTGTATTACTTATACCTAGTCGCTTGAAAATCAATACATGGTTGATGCGGAGTTATCGTTCTTTTGTAACACTTCGAACAACTCGAGTTCACGAGGTTTGTGGGTGTCTGTTGCTTAGTAAAAAGTTAATCAACGTAAGTAATGAAATGGAACCTTTATCTCACTTTACTAAAAGTCTTCGAAATTGTCAGTTCGTTATGAAACACTCGCAAAACAACATTACGTAACACAATGTGACGTCATAATAGGCATTGTATGAGTGATGAAACATATAGCGGAGAAAAACAATTTTACAAACCACAGACCATAAACATTTCATCGGTGCGGTAAATTCGGCTTCACCTCGCCAGGCATGAAATTTACTAGCCAGGTATCATCCCGTACCCTGTCACTACAAAACTATGTAACTAATAATCCTAGTGTCTGACTGCTATCGTAATTATTATTGTATTACTGACAGTAACATTTACTAAAGATAATACTACTTTGTTTGTAAAAAGGTACAGAGTGCTTACAAATGCTAACATATTCTATTTTATTTTGCAATATACTCTCAGCCAATTTAAAAGATACAAGGAACAATCCATAACTTTTATAAAGTACTGAAGTGAAACATTGTTTTCATCATACTATTACTTGTAATAATGAAATCATGGATCAGAGAAACACTGAAAGAAGACCAATATCTTCACAAATTGAACTGTTGCCGTGTCATACTGACCGTGACATTGGCCGTGTCATTCTTTCTGTCTTCGTCTGTAGCGGTCACTATCAGTGTATAGTCATTACGGTGGTCCTGGTACAGTGCCTGTCGTACCACTATCTGCCCCGTGGTAGGGTATACATAGAACTTAGTCATATCTCCCCCGGAAATGTTATACCTCACCTTCCCAGCACTGACAGAGTCTGGATCAAAAGCCTGCGGAAAATATAAAGTGATCAGTACTAACGCTAACCTCTTGTAATTTAAGTTTTAATGCAGGCATACACTAATAATCATCACACACTTCAAGTTTAAAATTCTAACAATCAAACCTGTGATCCTTGAAAGGAAATTTACACATACAACACTGGGTTGCTAAGACAGGTTTGACTGTAGCAAGTTTGCTAAGAACTGTTACCACTAAGTACTGTTACAGTTCTAAATATTGTCCATTACTAGTCAGTGCCTCACCTTTATAACTCCCACAAGATCTCCAGCTTTAGCACCTAAAGGCACTCCAAACACCAGAGAATCTGTTACATTAGCCACAGAAAAGGAAGGAGGGTTGTCATTCTCATCCCCTATACTGACCTCCAAAATTATATCCCCTACAATCAAGAAAAAACTTGAATTTTCTTTTCATTTGTACTTAATTCAAATACTAATACAAAAGTGAATAAATGTAGTAAGTGATAATCTGTCGAAATTCAAATGTTAAAAATTCTAATCATGTAACTCCCTAAATGATACTATAGAAAACTAATTCACTTGTTGCTAAATGTAGAATACTATAACACAATTATTTTACTGAAACTTGCCAACTGTTGAGCATCCTCTGTCATAGTACATTAGAGTAAAACCAAAGTGTACTAATTTTGAATGTACAATTGACATGTGTTGGTGATGAGTTAGTTTTATATGTGTTGGTGATGAGTAAATTTTATATGTGTTGGTGATAAGTTAGTTTTGTATGTGTTGGTGATGAGTTAGTTTTATATGTGTTGGTGATGAGTTAGTTTTATATGTGTTGGTGATGAGTTAGTTTTATATGTGTTGGGGATGAGTTAGTTTTATATGTGTTGGTGAGGTGTTAGTTTTATATGTGTTGGTGAGGTGTTAGTTTTATATGTGTTGGTGATGTTAGTTTTATATGTGTTGGTGAGGTGTTAGTTTTACATGTGTTGGTGATGAGTTAGTTTTATATGTGTTGGTGAGGTGTTAGTTTTATATGTGTTGGTGAGGTGCTAGTTTTATATGTGTTGCTGATAAGTTAGTTTTATATGTGTTGGTGGTGATGAGTTAGTTTTATATGTGTTGGTGATAAGTTAGTTTTATATGTGTTGGTGATGAGTTAGTTTTATATGTGTTGGGGATAAGTTAGTTTTATATGTGTTGGTGATGAGTTAATTTTATATGTGTTGGTGAGGTGTTAGTTTTATATGTGTTGGTGAAATGTAAAAAATTTTACATGTGTTGGTGATGTGCTAGTTTTACATGTGCTGATGTTGTTAGTTTTACATGTGTTATTGATGTTTTAATTTTACATGTGTTTGTGATGCGTTAGGCCAAGATGCAGTGGATCAGAAACACTTGGCTAGTGAAGATGCCTATAGGGCATAGTTTTATGTGTAGGTGATGAGAATGATTCACCTGTCTTGGTGCTGTCATGGTTTTACATGTGTTGGTGATGTAGTTCACCTTAGTGATTTGTTTTGTTTTACATGCATTGGTGATGTGGATAGTTCACTAATGAGATTTGTTTAGTTTTACATGTGTTGGTGATGTGAATAGTTCACCTTAGTTATTTGTTTAGTTTTACATGTGTTGGTCATGTAGACAGTTCAACTATCTTAGTGTTTTATAAAGTTTTACGTGCTAGTGAAGTGGATAGTTCACATTAGTGATTTGTTTAGTTTTACATGTATGGTGATGTGGATAGTTCACCTAAGTGATTTGTTTACTTTTACATATGTTGGTTAGGTGGATAGTTCATTTATCTTACTGATTTGTTTAGTTTTACATGTGTTGGTGAGGTGGGCATTTACCTACATAGGTAATTTATTTAGTTTACCTCTGTTAATGAAATGGATAGTATACAGGTCTTAAAGATATTATAATTGTAATTGTTTGGTGACATGATAGGTTACTTGTGTGGTGTTGACAGTTCTACCATATGGCTGTTATGTAAACTTGACCCTGTGTCAGTGATTCAACATTTAACTGATTTGTTAATGTTGACAGCTTACCTGATTTGACTTTAACCTGTTTTGTTGACATCATCAGTTTATCTTTTGTTTATATTGACAATTATATGCATTCTTGGTGTTAACAATTTTACTAGTATCTGTGATGTTGATAGTTACCTGTATTGTTGGTGTTGACAATTTTACCAGTATCTGTGATGTTGATAGTTACCTGTATTGTTGGTGTTGACAATTTTACCAGTATCTGTGATGTTGATAGTTACCTGTATTGTTGGTGTTGACAATTTTACCAGTGTCTGTGATGTGGATAGTTACCTGTATTGTTGGTGTTGACAATTTTACCAGTATCTGTGATGTGGATAGTTACCTGTATTGTTGGTGTTGACAATTTTACCAGTATCTGTGATGTTGATAGTTACCTGTATTGTTGGTGTTAACAATTTTACCAGTATCTGTGATGTGGATAGTTACCTGTATTGTTGGTGTTGACAATTTTACCAGTATCTGTGATGTGGATAGTTACCTGTATTGTTGGTGTTGACAATTTTACCAGTATCTGTGATGTTGATAGTTACCTGTATTGTTGGTGTTGACAATTTTACCAGTATCTGTGATGTTGATAGTTACCTGTATTGTTGGTGTTGACAATTTTACCAGTGTCTGTGATGTGGATAGTTACCTGTATTGTTGGTGTTGACAATTTTACCAGTATCTGTGATGTTGATAGTTACCTGTATTGTTGGTGTTGACAATTTTACCAGTATCTGTGATGTTGATAGTTACCTGTATTGTTGGTGTTGACAATTTTACCAGTATCTGTGATGTTGATAGTTACCTGTATTGTTGGTGTTGACAATTTTACCAGTATCTGTGATGTTGATAGTTACCTGTATTGTTGGTGTTAACGATTTTAATAGTATCTGTGATGTTGATAGTTACCTGTATTGTTGGTGTTGACAATTTTACCAGTATCTGTGATGTTGATAGTTACCTGTATTGTTGGTGTTAACAACTTTACCAGTATCCGTGATGTTGATAGTTACCTGTATTGTTGGTGTTGACAATTTTACCAGTATCTGTGATGTTGATAGTTACCTGTATTGTTGGTGTTGACAATTTTACCAGTATCTGTGATGTTGATAGTTACCTGTATTGTTGGTGTTGACAATTTTACCAGTATCTGTGATGTGGATAGTTACCTGCATTGTTGGTGTTGACCATTGTTCCAGTGCCAGTGATGTCTGCAGTTACCTGTTTCATTAATGTAGACAATTTACCTGTTCTAGCACTTCTCTTCTTTCGTCCCTGAGGTAACTGTATCTCTGTTGATTCTATATAGAGTGTGATGTGACTTATAGTTTCTCTGTCTACAGACTGATTACAAAACACCTGGCCAGAAGTAATGTAGAAATATCCGATGGCCACTACAAAGAAGTTTTCATAGAATTAACATTATCCCAAACTCAGCTTATTTATAAAATGCTGCATACATTTATGTCTTTAAATCTTTATTAATTACTCCTTAGTTTATTAACTGCAGATCTGTGACTGACACTAAAAAAATATAGGTTGGACAAGCTGTAGAAATTTCTCAATCTACAATTTCTACAAATCTACATCTATAGTTTTATTTAGTGTTAGAGTACACTCTAACATCTTATGTATACCCGGTGGATCAGTCCTGATGATCCTGTACTCCAGCCCTGCTCCGTATCTGTCCTGACTTGTAAGGTTAAACACTACAATAGTCTCCTTATTGTTCTCCATCAGTGAGGCTGTGTAATGTGGAACTGATGAACTCACTGTGTTGAAGTCCACAATATTTATCAAGACCTACAAAAACAGCACAGGTTCTGTTGACCTCTGGAATTCATGCACAATTCATTTGATCAGTTAAGCTATGAACAGCAATTTCATCTACATGGAATTCTACTTTACAGAAGAAATATCTGAAGAGCAACTAACATTTTATTTTTACTATATATAAGTGCGACATATATTTATATTTATTAGCTTAGACTTAATTTTTGTTTATTAACTGCACACATAATTAGAGTTACTTCCCCTTGTCATTGACAAGAACTTAAGATGGAGATAACATGGCAAAATGATATGTAAATAGAGATTTAGGCGATTTATATGCATATACTGAATGGAAAAGTTATGCTATTACCTTTGTTGTAGCTGTTAAATTGGAGTCTGTGTTCTTGGCCTCCACTGATAACAAGTACTCAGCCTGACCATGAGCCAAACTTCGCTGAACTTTGACCTCTCCTGTATCTTTGTTCAAACTAAATCTCCTCTCTTGGTTACCCTCTACAACATAATACTTTCCTTAGCAATATAATCTAATACACAGAATTATATAAAGACATAATAATATAACTTCAACATGAAACAAGTGATCAATAGCAAAATTACTTATAACCAATAACAACATCAAACAAGAGGTCCATGGGCCACAACGCTCACCGAGTCACTTTAGCCTTGCTGTTCTGCATCAGATTTTTTGCCAAAATACATGTATTCTACTGTATTTTTGATTGCCTTTTGTGGCTGTGATTTGAACAAATATAGATCTACACTACCACATAATGCTTCCACATTAATATGATTCATCATGGATTTGCTGTTGAGGAGTTCTAAAGATTTTTCCTTGTATAATCCCTATTGTGGTCCCACCCGACTCCCAGGGGTCATGATTTGAACAATTTAAAATCTACACTACCTCAAGAAGCTTCCGCATATGATTCAGCTTTTTTGATCCAATGGTTCTTGAGAAGATTTTTAAAGATTTTTTTCCTATATATTTCAATGTACAACTTTGATTCCCTATTGTGGCCCCACCCTACCCCAGTGGGCATGATTTGAACAATTTAGAATCTACACTACCTTAGGAAGCTTCTAGATAAGTTTCAGCTTTCCTGGTCCAATGGTTCTTTAGAAGAATATTTTTAAAGATTTTACATATATATTTCAAAGTAAAACTTCCCTATTGTAATAATTTGTATGCATTAACCTCAATAAGCAAATCATAACAATTGGTAGGGTCATTGGAATGATGGGATATTGAGCACTTACAGGACAGACGTTAATTTATATAAGGATACTGAAAAATTCTTATTAATTTGAGTTACTTAATTGAAATAATTAATATAAATCAATGGGAGATCTTTCAGCTATATAATAAAGGAGTTATTGAATTTACTGTACATAATATTAAACCCTACAATAATATATAGCAATATTTTTTTTCAATACTGGTATTGATGATATATGCTAACTGGAAGTATTACATAAACGCTAAATATGGTGTATCTGAATTCAAAACTCAATTACTTGACTGCTTTAGTTTTTTTTTTTAGTGTTTATTAAGATTAAGAATAGAATAAGAATGATTAATATATATTACGAGGATAGCATTGTAAATTGAACTCAACAACAATTGTTTATTATATTTTTTCCGAAATACTTACTCTTTAACAATTTACGATTTTATACTTTTGTTTATTAAAATGGCAGATGAAAAAAACATTGTTAACAATCTTTTGGATTGTGATGTCAGAGTATACATAATTAAAAAAAATCAAAGAAAAGCTAATTTTACTTTCATTTTCAGATGTTTTTGCAAACATGTGCATTTTGCTGGAAAACAAATCTGACATGCCTCCTCAAGATTTTAGTTAACCAGTAAGAAAAAATTTGACAAGCTTTCATTTGAGGGGTGTCCCATCCTTCAATGAAAATTAGGGGAGGAGCTATGCACCTATGGGAAATGTATTAGTGGACTAAATGACCCAGATAGGGTATTTTGGCTTAATTGGAATGAATAAAATACATGTCCATCCAGCTTACTTCAAACTTTCAGAGAAATGGACAGCAATGCAATATATTGCAATATTTATTGCAATATGCCATCAAATACTTCAATACATATATCACAATATAATATGTTTCTGGCGATACCTACTCCTATCTTGAATAGTCTTGAATCTTAAAAAACTGAGTTTTAAATACAACAGTAGTAAAGTGAAAAGTCATTTGGTAAGCACAAGGTCAAAAAATTGGGTTGAATAGTTCTCACCAATATGTATTAGTACATGTACATACATTCTCATAAAAATATCTTGAATAGTTTCTTTGAAACTAATAATTACAAATTTAAGAAAAGTGAGGTCAAGGTCAAAGGGAAGGCCAAGTTAAAAAATTTTGATGCAGTTGAATAGCACTCTCTAATGAAGTTTTAAAAAAAAATAGGGATGTCAACGAGTACCCGGTTAACCGGGTACTCGATCGAACGTCCGAGTATCGAATACTAAAAATGGTACTCAGTTACTCGGATGTGTATTTTTTCTTATTTCAAAGTACATATTTTTATCAAAAAACTAATCAAAAAATAACATAAATATGCATACGGTAATTTGCGTGTCGTCATCTACACCTGTAAAACACCCGTTATCGCCTGTGGCTGTGTATATACAGTAATTAGTGACCAATTACCCAGCTGTTCTCACCTATATTGTGGTACTTAATTTTTGGATGGCTTCAATGATTGTTTTCAGTGAACATCGAAGGTCTATTATCTTCAAATCATTTTAAAATTATTTAGTTAATATACGGCAGTGAAATAGGACATGCATAGAAATGCCGCTACCCACTTCAAAAGTGAAGAAATATTAATAAATAACTAAAAATTTAAAAAAAATGTTGAAGGTCAGTTTGCGTAGTAAGTTTAGTGTATACAGGGGAAACCATCAACGTATGAAATAATATTAGACTAGTGATTCCAAAAACGGCCATACCTTTTCTTTCGCACAGGTGCTTGGGGGACGCCCCCACCGTGTTCCATACCCCAAGGGTTCTTTGACTTTTTTAAAATAAAATATTTTTCTTTGACACATTCACAAAGTATTACAACTGAAAAATCCAAAACTTAACCTAAAACTAGCCTTTTATAAAAATTCAAACTCTCTGATACTAAGAGAGAACAGTTCTCGGGGGGGGGGGGGGGGGGGTTCCCCAAGCACCTGTGCTCTTTCGCTAGTCTTATCATTATAAACATGCGTAACAGATTTTCCTCCTTTTGATGAAATAGATCCTAAACAAGAACTGTAAACCATTTGTAATTTTTGATGTATTAATTGTGTCTTTTGTGTTTGATAAATAAATTTTGTACCAAAAAATCATTTCCGTTGGAATCGATGTTTATATACATTTATAAACGTGATAAAAACAGCTTTTGGGTTTAACAGAGCTTAACGGGGCTCAAGAAAATTAACACACTTGTATTTGCATTTTTTACCGAGTACCCGGGTACTCGATCGGAAAAACGTCCGAGTAACCGATTATCAAAAATTGACCGATTTGACATCCCTAAAAAAAAATATTTTGAATACTTTGTTTAAAGCTGAGTTAAATGTAAAGTGTGACAGATGGACGGACAGAAGGACAGACAGATAGCTAGAGGGAAGATGGACGTGACAAACACTACACTGTAGATTCCTAAATATATGCGAGGAATTGATTATTTTTTTCACGATTTGACACTGAAGCCTTTTTGCAATATTAAGTACTCGAGAAAAATAAGGAATCTACAGTATTCCCCGGCCATACTAATTGCACAACATAAAGAATCCTTCTGAGAAGAATATCTTTTGTGTCTGACCTGTGATAATGTAACTGGTCTTGTCTCCAGCTTTAAGCTTCAGTAGTGACTCTCCCACTTTGTCCGAGATGCTGGCATTGACTTCATACAAGGCCTTGCTGAATGTCGGCACATTGTCTGGAATATCAGTGACCTGCACCACCAGGTTTGTGCAAGAGCTACGAGGGGGAGAGCCCATGTCTGTAGCCGAGATTGTCAGGTTGTACACTTCCTGTTCCTCGTAATCCAAAGGCCTTGTACAAAACACCGTACCATCTAGGATAAAATTCAAATTAATGAATTCAATTCTAAAAAAGTTGATAATGATTGCAAATATGATTATTTTCCTTTCAAATAACACCATATAATGTCTCATGTATTTAAAAAATAGATGTATAATTTCTCTACGTCTAAAACAAGTTTATTTATCTACATTTTCAATTCATACTTTGTATTTAATTTGAATTTGTGTTATAATGCTCTCAAATTAAATTTGTATCATAAACCTTTTATTTCGTCTTTAAACAATATTGTCAGTATCTTGTTTAGCTCAGTGGAGCTATGAATACCAAAATCTGTACTGTTATCTGCCTTCATGACTCTGACTTACTGAGAGAGTCTATCTGGAACAGCCCAAGATCATTCTCCAACTCGTAAACAATGGTTCCATTTAATCCAGCATCTGGATCTTCAGCTCTCACCATGGCTATAGTCTATCAAGAACAGGAGAGAAATGAAGGCTTTTTTATAAGGATAAGAACAAATTACAAAGTATTAAAAGTAACTAGACATCAGTGAGACTGTGACCATCTCAAAGGAATCCCCCCCCTTTTTTTTTAGCAAAGGACATTAGGATGAAAGACCCATTATCCAAGGGCACTTTTTGCATGAAGTTTGAGCCAGATGGGGCCAACAGAAGAAAAAAAGCTCAGGAAAAGAATTTACAGAGATTTGATATAACCCTGACCATTAAAATAGAATCTTGGCTTAGGGACACTGCACACCCTCTATCCACTGGCACACACCCTCTACCCATTAGCAACCTGAGCCAGATAGGGCCAAGTGGAGACAAAATGTGCTCTGGACAAGGATTTTAAGCAGAGAGGTTTTCTGACCTCGATCTTTCATCTTGTGAATGATTCTTGGTCATCACACACCCTCTATATACAGGCACTCTATGAGTGAAGTTTGAGCCCAATTGGGTCAAAGGGGGAGAAAATATGCTAGTGACAATGATTTTACAGAGAGATTTTTCGACCTTGACTTTGATAAAAAAAAATTGGTTCAAGGCCACTGCACACTCTCTTTCCATGGACACTCTATTGTTAAGTATGAGCCCGACTGGGACAAGAGGAAAGAAAATAAGCTTTGAATAAACAAAAAGTTTGAGCCAAACATCTTGACAAGTTGACATCGGATTTGTACAGAAATGAATCCCACCATATGGCATGCCTAATTAAAGAGTGTGCTTAACTTTCAGGTATATGCAATGAGTAATTGCTGAGAAAACTGTGACCAAATTGTTTTTTACAGTACCTAGTTGCTGAGAAAACTGCAACAAAAAATTTTATACATGGTATGAACGGACGCATGGATAAACAGTAAGTTGACATTCATACAAAAATGAATCCCACCATATGGCATGCCTAAATTAAGAGTGTGCTGAACTTTCAAGCATCTGCAATGAGTAATTGCTGAGAAAACTGCGACCAAAATTTGTTACATATGGTACGGACAGACACTTGGATAAACAGGAAGTTGACATCAGATTCGTACAAAAATGAATCCCACCATATGGCATGCCTAACAAAGAGTGTGTTAAACTTTCAAGCATCTGCAATGAATAATTGCTGAGAAAACTGCAACCAAATTTTTTTTTATGGACAAACACAAAGACACACAGATGGACAGTTGGACATACACACAATGGTAAAACAGTATACCCCCCTCTCCTTTGGAGCGGGAATATAATTAACTAGACGTACTAGTAATACTCCCTGCCAAACTTATTTTAAAGTTCCCATTTGCAATTTTGTAAATGTGACTTTGAACTTGCCAAAATGACCTTAACAAACATGTCCTCTGAACATAAGTAATCTTGAGTGAAATACGAAAATCCAATGTTTCTCCATTAGAAAATTAAAGACCTGTGATGAATTTAACACCTCTTCTGCCAGTACCCTTGAACTTGTCAAAATAATATTAGGTCAAGGTTATGACACACCATCAGGCCACGAACAATCTTTGTACCAAGTATGAGTTACCAATAAATCACCATTATAAAGTTATGGCCTGGACAAGAATTTCATGTTTTCCTACCAGTAACCTTGAATTTGCCAAAATGACCTTGGGTCAAAGTCATGACAAACCCTCAGGTCAAAAACAATCATTGTATCAAGTTTGACTTTCCAATGATTCCCCATTACAAAGTTATATCCCATACAAGAATTTTATACTTTTTCTGCCAGTGACCTTGAACTTGAATGACTTTGGGTCAAGAACATGACACATTCTCAGTTTATAAACAATCTTAGTACCAAATTTGAGCTTCCTATCATTTTATTTTACAAAGTTATACCCTGGACAAAAATTTTTTTTTACTTTTTCTGCCCGTGACCTTGTACTTGCCTAAATAACTTTGGCCTAAATAACTTTGGGTCAAGGACACAACACACTCTCAGTTCATTAACAATTTTTGTACTAAGAGCTTCCAAAGATTCTCCATTACAAATTTACTACCAGGACAAGAATTTCATACTTTGTATGCCAGTGACCTTGAACTTGTCCAAATGACTTTGAATCACAACTTATACTCAGGTCATAAACAATCTTTGTACCAAATATGATGAGCTTTTAATGACCCTCCATTACAAAGTTATAGCCTGGACAAAATCTTTATACTATTTCTCAGGTGACCTTGAACTTGCCTGAATGACCATGGGTCAAGGTCAATTCACGTCCTTGGGTCACAAACGATCACTGTACTAAGTAAGAGCTTCCAAAGATTCTCCATTACAAATACATAGCCCAGACAAGTTTGCAAATACAGATGGATAAGGTGATTCCTAAATATCCTCCCAGAAGCTTTGTTTTTTAAGGGGTAAAATAAGATGGATTGACAGATTGACATACTGATCACTAGCAGAGCGGGGCCCTAATTATAATTTATCTAAACCACTTCCATGAAAACACATTACCTGTACGCCTGAAAGATTTTCTGATATGTTTCTTGTAAGTTGTGATGACTCAAATTTTGGAGCATGATCATTGACATCACAGACTCTTACTGTGACATTGACAGTAGAAGAAAGCCGATAGTATCCATTATCTACAGCCTACAAAGAGGTTTATATGAATCTTTAATGTGACTACATAATCTCTAAGTAAGGGACTTGAGTAAATTTAAATATGAAAAAATTTTCAGCAAATATCTCACAAAAAACTATAGAATTTGCACATTCTTCAACAAATGAATACAGTAAAACATGCTTATAGTACACATGCTTAATATAATGAATTGATGCTTACAGTGAAGTGACTTTTATTCCTTGTGGCTTTAAAACATATTGTGAACTTAACAGATATAACATGTTACGTTTATAACAAAGCAAAATCCTCCCTCCCTGACACTTCATTATAGTGTGTTTTACTGTATTTAACAAGAATTTCAAAATGGTAAAAATGTTCTTCTTATGCTATAAACAAATATTGACTCCCCTTGAATTTTACTTAATTAATAGCAATGATTTCTTGAATTATCAATTCCATGCACATAAGTCAAATTGAAAATTTATAAGCTTACACGTTACAGCTAAAACACTAACCATAATTTGTAAATAACGGTAAGTGTCCATCTCTCTGTCCAATGAACCATTCACTCCAAGTGTCCCTGTTGTTTCATTCAGCACAAACCTCCCATCTATATCAACAAAACAACAGTTTGTAGATACAAGCATAGTAGAGAGAATGTGACCAGAATCTTCTATAGTCTATTTCACCTATGAGTGAGTATGTAAGCTAAAAGTTCTATAATGTGTTTATCACCTATCAGTGAGTATGTGAGCTAAAAGTTCTATAATGTGTTTATCATCTATCAGTGAGTATGTGAGCTAAAAGTTCTATAACATGTTTATCACCTATCAGTGAGAATGTGAGCTAAAAGTTCTATAACATGTTTATCACCTATCAGTGAGTATGTGAGCTAAAAGTTCTATAACATATGTGTTTATCATCTATCAGTGAGTATGTGAGCTGAGTGTTCTAAGCTGTTTATTACCTATCAGAATGTGAACTGGGTATTCTTTAAGCTGTTGATTATCTATCAGTGAGTATGTGAGCTGAGTGTTCTATAAGCTGTTTATCACCTATCAGTGAGTATGTGAGCTGAATATTCTATAAGCTGTTATCACCAATTAGTGAGTATGTGAGCTGAGTGTTCTATACACTGTTTATTATCTATCAGTGAGTATGTGAGCTGAATGTTCTATAAGCTGTTTATTACCTATCAGTGAATATGTAAGTTGAGTGTTCTATACACTGTTTAACACCTATCACTGAGCATGTGAGCTGAATGTTCTGTACGCTGTTTATTACCTTTCAGTGAGCATGTGAGCTGAATGTTCTATAAGCTGTTTATTACCTATCAGTGAGTATGTAAGCTGAGTGTTCTATAAGCTGTTTATCACTCATCAGTGAGTATGTCAGAACAAATATGAAAGTTGACAGTTCTATTACTTGACTGTCTATCTCCAATGAGCGAGAGTGCATGTTTAGAGTCCTATTTCTTGCATCTTCTTTATGAGTGAGTATGTTGTATGAATATTCCACTACCTGTATCTCAACTGAGCTGATAATTCTATTACCTATATCTCCCATGAGCCAGTACATAAGCTAAGTGTTCCGTTTCTTGATTCTCCTATGAGCCAGTATGAGTGCTCTACCTCTAGCATCTCTTATGAGAAAGTTTGTAAGCCAAGACTTTTATGACCTTTATCTATTGAGCCAGTATGCGAGCTTATAGTTCTTTTATACCCTGTTTATCTCCTATGAGTGAGTTTCTATTATTACCTGTATCTCTTATGAGTACGTATGTAAGCTGAGTGTTCTATCACCTGTTTATCTCTTATGAGTGAGTATCTATTATTACCTGTATCTCCTATGAGTGAGTATGTAAGCTGAGTGTTCTATCACCTGTTTATCTCCTATGAGTGTGTATGTAAGCTGAGTGTTCTATCACCTGTTTATCTCTTATGAGTGAGTATTAAGCTGAGTGTTCTATTCCCTGTATCTCCTATGAGTGAGTATGTAAGCTGAGTGTTCTATTCCCTGTATCTCCTATGAGTGAGTATGTAAGCTGAGTGTTCTATTACTTGTATCTCCTATAAGTGAGTATGTAAGCTGAGTGTTCTATTACCCGTATCTCCTATGAGCCTGTATGTAAGCTGAGTGTTCTATTACCTGTCTATCTCCTATTAGTGTGTATGTAAGCTGAGTGTTCTATCACCTGTTTATCTCCTATTAGTGTGTATGTAAGCTGAGTGTTCTATTACCTGTATCTCCTATGAGTGAGTATGTAAGCTAAGTGTTCTATTACTTGTATCTTCTATGAGTGAGTATGTAAGCTGAGTGTTCTATTACTTGTATCTCCTATAAGTGAGTATGTAAGTTGAGTGTTCTATTACCTGTATCTCCTATGAGCCTGTATGTAAGCTGAGTGTTCTATTACCTGTCTATCTCCTATGAGTGTTTATGTAAGCTGAGTGTTCTATCACCTGTTTATCTCCTATTAGTGAGTATGTAAGCTAAGTGTTCTATTACCTGTATCTCCTATTAGTGAGTATTAAGCTGAGTGTTCTATTACCTGTATCTCCTATTAGTGAGTATTAAGCTGAGTGTTCTATTACCTGTATCTCCTATTAGTGAGTATGTAAGCTGAGTGTTCTATTACTTGTATCTCCTATGATTGTGTATGTAAGCTGAGAATTCCATCGCCTGTTTATCTCCTATGTGTGAGTATGTAAGCTGAGTGTTCTAGCACCTGTATCTCCTATGAGTGAGTATGTAAGCTGAGTGTTCTATTATTTGTATCTTCTATGAGTGAGTATGTAAGCTGAGTGTTCTATTACCTGTTTATCTCCTATGAGTGAGTATCTATAATTACCTGTATCTCCTATGAGTGAGTATGTAAGCTGAGTGTTCTATTACCTGTTTATCTCCTATGAGTGAGTATCTATAATTACCTGTATCTCCTATGAGTGAGTATGTAAGCTGAGTGTTCTATTAACTGTTTATCTCCTATGAGTGAGTATCTATAATTACCTGTATCTCCTATGAGTGAGTATGTAAGCTGAGCATTTTCCCCCTGGTCCCTGTCAGTGGCTGATACAATAAGAGGGGGTGGGTTAACATCATTCTCTGTCACTGTATACTGGTAGTCTGGTTTCCCAAACATTGGATTGTTATCATTTACATCCAACAAAGTTATGGCTACCTATTTGATTAAAGTAGTTTTAACTGCTAAGTAAGTATTGGCACAATGACTAAAACACCCCATAAATTTTACTGGGCAAAACTCTTTGCAAACAAAATTCTTGTTACAATGAACAATATTGCAGTTAGACTATTCTGATAGCATCCTTCATCTATAAAGTTGAAAGAGGTTACTTTTCCAACATTGTATGTCTGTACCTGAGATATTCATTGAAAGTCAAATTTCTTGAAATGATATTTATTGCATTGGATGAGGAAATAGTGGAAGATTGGGCTAAAAAAACATACACAGGGAAATCTTTAGCTTTTTTTGGTAATGCATGAAGATTACTTATAAATACAGAATGAGGATCACAGACAACAGTTGATATGGTCAGTGATCTGTTGTAACTGTTGTTATAGACCACCCACCACAGTAAAGGCTGTCCTCTCTGGCACCCTTCCATCCACCACCCTAGCGGCAAATGTCACCTGGCTCTTAGTCTCACGGTCCAAGACTCCCTTTGTAAAAACCTTTCCCTAAAAAAATAAATTTACTTCAAAATGTCTAAATATATTAATGTAAAAACAAGAGGCCCAAGGGCCTTGAATCGCTCTTCTGATAAACTGTACAACCTATCACTTCTATTTGAAGCCTCTAAGTATCCTGTATATTTAGATAAACCCTTGAAATTCCAAAGGTAGGTCGTCATGACCTAAATTTTAGATGAAACACTCTGAGAACCCAAGATGATTCTAAGCCAATTAGTACCTGAGACTTATCACTTGTCATTCTCTCAGGACCCAAGATGCATCAACTAAGTTTGATGATTCCAAAAGTAAGTCACAGTGACCTACTTTTCAGATGACATACTTTGAGGATCCAAGATGCATCAACTTACAAAGTTTGATGATTCTAATTCAATAAGTACCTGATATATTTAAGTGACCTTGAGACCACACCCTTTGCCCAAGGGTAAATCCCCGAACAAATTTTAATCTACAAAATATCCTTATCCTTTTGTGTAAGCTTGGTGATAATCTGCCCAGTGGTTCTTGAGAAGAAAATTTTTTAGCAACAGTACTTTTGTTTCTATTTTCCTAATTATCTCCCCTTGTTTAAGGGTCACAACCCTAGATTTAGTATAAACGGGAGCCCTTGAGCCAAGGATACCCTGTGATTAATTAGACAATAATTGGCCAAGGGGTTCTTGAGTTATGGCCCATATTCTAAAAAGTTTACACACACTGCACAAATGGCCATAGCATTAGCTCTTTGAGCCTTTGGCTCAAAAGAGCTAAAAACTGACTTGAGGAGAACATTTTAATGGTATGATTAAACCCATACATGTAGTCTGGTACAAGTACCAAATACTGTATTGAATTTATTATTGAAAACTTTCTAAATTCATGTACTGGTCAACAGGCTACATGTTTAATAAGATATCTTTAAGAATCCTTTGGTTTTTTTTTTTAAATGCTGCAAGTCAAACTGTCTTACAGTATCATTTCTAAGAGACACAAATACTTCATCACTTACATCTGAGGTGACAGTGAAGAATTTCATTTCTAGGAAACACAGATACTTTATTACTTACATCTGAGGTGATAGTGAAGTTGGAGGAGGCATCGGCTTGTTCTATCATGGAGTAGGTCAGATGATAGAAAGTCTCATTGACAACAAAAGCTTTTATATCACCCACAAAAGTATCTGTCAAAATAACAACATTTCCTGAGTATGTGTGACTAGATAAAACTTAATTATTCAGTGTAAATTGTATACCTATAATAATTAAGTAAAATGTAGCATAAAGAAAAAGATGGTTATTCATCAGTAAGTGTAATAGTTACTGTGAACTAGACATCTACTGCAATGGATGTCCATTAATCTTTGATAAGAAATACTGTACTAAACACTTCCAATTGACTAAAGTATATAACCTAATGAAATGGAAGGAAGCTACTTTGATAACTGTCTGGACTGTGGTCTATGAATGAACCATTAAGGACAGACGATACATTCCTCAATAATATATTATTTTTTTTCAAGATTTTGTCATTGAAGTATTGCTACTTTAACATGTATATTCACAAAAAATTGAGGTACCTTACAAGGCATTTGTGCAAGATACCAGAGGGTAGTTTTTCTTTTATAATCTATTTGGAAAAAAATTTATTTTCAAATATCAAATTTTTTAGTGTATGTATTTTTTAAGGACAACGAGAAATCAGAATGTAATTAAAATTTTGAATATTTTTCATACATTACAAAGATTATATACATAACAGATATTTATGGTACATAGTGTCTGACCTTAAAATGATCTGTAGTGGTTATAAAACATTATTAAGCTCAAGGTTCTCTATCATTTCAGATTTAACTGTGGTGCAAGACTTGCGCGATGTGCTAATATTCACGGTCATTTGGCTACCGAATTTGCTAAGGAACCACAAAATAAATTGAAAAACACACTGCCCCTTTGAGTCAATAGTTTCATATAAAAATTAATTAATGGCATTAACTAATTGGAAAAATGATTGATAAATTCAAAACAATTTATCAATAAAACATAGAGTAAAACAAAAATTAGGATGTTTCCAAAATATATGTATACTGTGACAAAAGACCCCCTCCAAACGCAAAAATATTAACTTATAGAAAAAATATTAGCTTATAGAATCTGAAAATACATGTAATAGTACCAGTAATTAGAACTTTCTAGCATTTAACCCTAATTTAAAAAATAATATTGTTTACCTGCCGTGTTCATTGAAGGACAGACGAAATTCTGGTGGGTCACCAGTCATATTTACATCTAGTCTAAATATTTGCAATTATTAGTCTGAAGTATCTTAAACTTGTATATTTTGGTGGATGTATTCATTATTTGTTAATTTTTCAACGTTACAAAAATAAATGAATATTTATACGATTGATACATGTACGATGTTTTGACTTGTAGTGTCAATACAATTTTAGAAACTTACATGTAGTTATCTGTAAAACTATTAAAGTAATGAATTAATTGGTGGCATTTTAAAATTCAGTTGTAATTATCGTGAAGTGTGAAAATAATGGCTTGTCGCTTTTCATTCAATGTGTCTAGCGAGGTCTGGAAGATAATCAATTGTAAAAGCCAAGCAGTGAATCCTATAATTAGAGTACATTAACAGTTTAGCAATAGAAACTGAAACACGCCTTTACGGTACATAATTAAGAGTTTTAATTAAGTTTATTTGATTAATAAATTTATTTATTTATCTTACTGACTGTCTTACTGTGGCACTAATATTTTAACTGTGGCGGAACTGTGGCGCTGATTTTTTAACTGTGGCGGGGACGCCACGTTAAACGGCCCATGGAGAACCCTGATTAAGCTTTTGTAACTTACTAGCTGTTGCATTTTCTGAAATTGAGAAGTTGTAGTGAGCCTTCTCAAACACAGGAGCATTGTCATTGATGTTTTCTACGACAAGATATAGGGTGAAATCTGTAGAACGAGGGGGGGTTCCTCCATCTTTGGCTGTTATAACATAAGTAAGGTTGACGGTCTGGTTGGTTCCATTTGTAATGTGTATAAGGTTGTTCACTGATATTGGGCTTTTTATAGACACAGTCCCCGAGTTTGTATCTATGGCCAACAGATCATTAACACTAGGAAGCAGACTTTTTAAACTAAATGATACAGTTCCATTCTCCCCTGCGTCTTTATCTCGACATACTGGGAGGTAAATGATGGAGTTGACGGGGGACATCTCCAGCACGCTCACGGAATAGTTTGTGATGGTCGTGTTGTCATGGTTGTAGAAGACCGGGACATTATCATTAATGTCCTGTACCAATACCTCGATTGTGGCAGGTGTAGTCTGGTTTCCTCCATCCATTGCAAACACAGGCAATGAGTATTTATCCCTTTCCTCCCTGTCCAACTTTCTTTTTAGAAGCAATGTACCATTTTCATTTAGAGTGAAGAGTTTGGTCATGTTTGAAGCTGGAATTTCTAAATAAGCAATGTTTACAGATGTGCATATATTGCTTACTAAAGAAAACACTTATGTTTGCAAAACATTGTACATATAACAATAACTGAGAAAGTGGTAGCAAACTTCATTTGATGCAAAAACAGATTGTTTAGTATTTTAATTAGTAAATACCTGAAGCTGAATAATTCAAAAAGTACTTTATTTCTGCATTTATTCCTTCATCATCATCTGTTGCTTTGAGGGTATAAATTTGAATTGGGTAAGAGACATTTCTTTCTTCAATTTCACTGTCCATGAGCAGAGAGGACTCAAACAAAGGAAGGTTGTCATTTACATCCTCAAGGATAATCAAAACAGTTACACTCGCGTCATGCTTTCCATCACTTACTCTTACAGTTAAGCTGTAATTGGCCTTTTTCTCACGGTCCAAAGTTTTGCTGACAGTTATGTTTCCTGAAATGAAACATAAAACAAGTTAGATATCATTGAGATGGTGGCCATCTGAAAGGGCCCTGCTTTCAGCAAAGAACATGAAAATGTAAGGAAGCTGAAACGGGTTCATTTTGAAGAGGAACATTTATGTACTATTAAGGGATGTGTTGTTTGAGTCTAAAGTGCTTCTATGTTATTCTTGTTATAATAAAAAATGGCACGAAAATCATGAGTGCTCCATACCCTCCATCAGAAAACGGCACAAAAATCATGAATGCCGCATATCTTCTATGAAAATTGATGCATATCCTCTATCAGAAATATGGAAGGAAAATCACAAATGTTCTGTACCCTAAGTCAATTGGTAAGGTTTGAGGCTGACTGGATTAAGGGAAAGAAATTATGCACCGAACAAAGATTTTAAACAGAGAGGCTATTTTTGACCTTGACCCTTGACCTAGAAACTTTGTTCAAGGTCACTGCACATCCACTGACCAGTGGCACTACGTGAGTGAAGTATGAGCCACAATGGACTAAGGGGAGAGAAGTTACGCTCGGAACAAGGATTTTTCATATAATTCCGCTATGACCTTAACCTTAGACCTAGAAACATGGTTCAAGGTCACTGCACACTCTTTACCCAAAGGCACTCTATGGGTAAAGTATGAGCCAGATTGGGCCAAAGAGAGAGAAAATATGCTCCAGACAAGAATTTAAACAGAGAAGCTATTTTTGACCTTGATCCTTGACTTAAAAACTTTGTTCAAGATCACTTCACATTGATTGACCAGTGGCACTCTGTGAGTGAAGTATGAGTCACATTGGACCAAGAGGAGAGAAGATATGCTCCAGACTAGGATTTTTCATATAATTCTGCTTTGACCTTGACCTTAGACCTAGAAACATGGTTCAAGGTCACCGCACACCCTTTACCCAAAGACACTCTGTGGGTGAAGTATGAGCCAGATTGGGCCAAGGAGAGAGGATATGCTCTGGACAAGAGATCTCGGACGGACAGTCAGACAGCTAGACGGACGGACAGACTGATCACTATAGGGCACCCGCAGAGCGGGGCCCTAATAAACCAAGGCACCCCTAAGCAGGGTAAATCTCACTTAACAAATTTATAATAAATACTTTGGCCCTCTATGTCCCACACATCTTTGATTACTTAGTATTTCACCACCAAGTATAAGACGGAAATTTCAAATTGAACTGTAATTCTGTGCACAAAATATCATACAAACTTATCAATCATTCTGGTTTTGTCTTTCTGACCTCTCAATTTGACCTTGACTTTTGATCCCAAAATTAATAGCCTTCCTCTGTTGACTAGTTGATTTATAGTTTTAAGATTTAAGGCTTTTATTACAATCTATGCAATTTTGTTCTCCATTCACCATCTCAACAATAACCAAGTAACAAGGACATGACACACCCTTGGGTCATAAACAACTATATATGCTAAGCATGAATTTTCCCATGTAGTTAAAAGCAACATTAGAGGCATAGAATGAAAAAGAATCAAAAACACACACTAAAAAGAATTTATGCCACTGACTTTGAGGCATAAAAAGGAATACCCACCAGCTGTTTTGTCAGTGATAGAGAAATGTCCGTCCCCTCCTGAGGATATGTAATAGGTAAGTGAGTAATCTAGGTCAGGATCCCATGCTGTAACACTGCCAACTAATTCTCCATACTCCACATTCTCTAGTATACTGAAACTGTAACTAGAATTAGTGAAGCGTGGCGGGTTATCATTGGCATCCTGTACACTAATAGTAACGCTCGTGGTGTTGGAAAGACAGTCAGCTCCTCCTAGTCTATCTCGGGCCACCACCTGAGTAGAAGATATATACTATATAGATGGTTTCAACTCTTTATGTTTTATTTAAATAGAAAAATGACTGGTTATTAAGTCAGAAAACTTGAACAAAACACACTATCCCTGAGTAGACAACCAGTAGAAAGCATCAAATAACGATGTTAAATTTCATATCTCTTTTTTCTCTAGACTGTTACCAAATGATTAGATGGGAGATAAGTCACCTGGATTGTGTAGTTTGGGTTTGTTTCCCTGTCAAGAATCCCAGAATTATTAACCCAAATTCTTCCTGTTGTATTATCAATGGTAAATGGTAACTCCGCAGGATCAGAACTCATGATGAAGAAGCGAATTCCAGCAGTCCCATTTATTGACTCATCATCATCCACAGCAGAAATAGGTGGATTCTGTAACATATTGATTATCATACATAAATTAATGCCGTTATATCTTACTAGCGAAATTAAGTACAAATTGAATTGTCAACAAGTATGTTTGTAAGGGGGAAAATATTTTTCTTAAATCTATAAATTATATTGGTAATAAACAGTCTATTCCCAAACACTAAACATCACTTCAACAATCACCTTTTACTTCATTTATTTAATTTTCAATCTTTACTTTTAATTTCAAAAGAAGATATTATTCTAACAAAGTCAAGTCAACTGACATTTAAATTCAAATCATAAAATAATTTCTTCCAGTAACAATGGCAGTATTTTTTCTTTTGATTTTCTTATAAATCAGATTCATATACATACCACTATAAAAAGAAAACAATTTCCTCTGTAAATTTTTTTTCTGTACCTTGCACATAATTTTTCCAATTAAAAGTTAGGAACACTACATCTAGACAGAGCAATTGAAACTGGTAACATTTCAAACACTTACAAACGAGACACTGCTTCCATTAACCGAGTTCTCCTTTATAGATCCATTGTAAATTGCATTCTTAAACCCAGGAGAATTATCATTTACGTCAGTAATGTTTACCACAACTTCCGTAAAACCCTGCAATTTTACACACATATATCACAATGTAGACAATTTGATTTTTAAGGTCAATTTTGGTACTGATGGATTTTGATTTATGTTAACTTGAATAATAAATTTTCTAAGATATAACAGAATTGTTCTAATGTAAGTTACTGTATTTGATAACTTGAATAATAAATTGTCTAAGATATAACAGAATTGTTCTATGTAAGTTACTGTATTTGATAACTTGAATAATAAATTTTCTAAGATATAACAAAATTGTTCTATGTAAGTTACTGTATTTGATAACTTGAATAATAAATTGTCTAAGATATAACAGAATTGTTCTATGTAAGTTACTGTATTTGATAACTTGAATAATAAATTGTCTAAGATATAACAGAATTGTTCTATGTAAGTTACTGTATTTGATAACTTGAATAATAAATTGTCTAAGATATAACAGAATTGTTCTATGTAAGTTACTGTATTTGATAACTTGAATAATAAATTGTCTAAGATATAACAGAATTGTTCTATGTAAGTTACTGTATTTGTTAACTTGAATAATAAATTTTCTAAGATATAACAGAATTGTTCTATGTAAGTTACTGTATTTGATTGTCCTTACCGTTCGTTTGGGAGAACCAGCATCCTCAGCAATCACAGTAAACGAGTATCTGTGATTGGAACACTGGTCTCTATTCACCTCACCAATCAGAAAGACATCCCCATCCTAGCCAAAAAATCACACACAGAACAATCATTTCATCAGACAGACAGATAGATAAAAGTGTCTTTTAAAGGACTTATCGCATGTTTCTAAATTATTTTAAATTAAAAGTGTAAAACGTTCCTTATGACCACAGTTTATAAATTTTGTGTTTTTACTGCGGATAAACCGCGGTAATTAACCAATTATCAACTCAAATGAAAACCCCTGAATTAAAAATCTAAGTTAATTAGATAGCGATCACATGACCCTGTGACGTCAAAGGCAACAATGGCTGATCAGCTCTTTACGTAAATCTTACTAAAATATTTGCGATACAATCTGAATTTTCTGCGTTATGGACGACCAAATCACTAATTTTATCGATATGAAATTTCATATTCAACCTTATATTTTAGAATTGTCAGCAAGAAATAATTTGAAAAATCCATTAACATTGTAAAAATAGCAGCGACGATAGCGAGGGAATGCGGCGAAGACGAAGAAACTCGCCATCACAATACAATTTGATTTGTCATTTTATCACATGTATTAACTTATCTGATTCACAAAGAACAAGGTACGGTTTCAATACAAATGTTGCCCTGTGTTTTTCTTAAAAATAAAAGTGATGTAAAAAATTAAAACTCATGCTTTTTGAATTATTGAAATTCCATGCAGAAAGATCATACAAATCTTTTTTCTCACATGACCTTCCAAATGCTAATTGTGACGTCATAAACTTGTGCATTTTCTCGTATTTTCTTAAAAAGTTGCAGAAGACATCAATTTTCAATGGAATTTTCTTTCAGATAATATTGTCCACAGGCATCGCCCACAAAGATTTTGAGATATGTGATTTTTCAAAGAATTTTACACAACATATCGAAAAATTAACGTGGGCGACGGCTGTGGACACTATTTTCTTAAGGAAAATAACCCTTGAAATGGGTCATTTTGAGGCTTTTTCTGTTTAAAATAGGGAAATGCATCAAATTAATGACGTCATATATCCAGAATGGTACTCCATCATACTATATTTTTTCCTGATTTATTACAGTCATATATTCAACTAATATTTAAGCCAGTTTCAAAACTTTTTGAAAACATTAAATTTTTAGGGCACAATAAAGCTAAAACCATACCTTCTTCTTTAATATTACATAACTTTGTTATTCTTCGCTTTTAACATAATATTAATTTATGCAAGTATGCTTTCATATGTTTTGTAAAGGATGGTGGTCTTGAAAAATAATTTTCCGATCACGAAACATTGCCGTAATCAGACCTACAGATTCTAAATGTTGGGAATAAAAAACGAAAATATCTCAAAATTCTTATACCTTAGGACTAGTTAATGTTTCTATAGTAATTGAAAATCACGGTAGGAATTAATTTTTTCAGCATTTTTCATAATTAAGCTGCATTTGTCGTTGATAACTTCGTAAATAGTGTGCAACTTCTCATCTCTCTATCACTGAATTGTTGCCTATGATGTCAGCGCAGTATTTCGCCGAAATCCAACTGAAATATGCATATTGCCGTATTTGAATTTCAACTCTCAATATCTCTTAAAATATGCTTTCAACAACGTTTATTGTATTCAGAATTTTAATAAACAAGGTTGTAGATAATATTTTTCATAAAATTAAGATTTTTGAAAAATCATGCGATAAGTCCTTTAAGCACTGCATTGTGACCAACCAAAATCTTGCACCAAAATTACTCTTACTTGTGTAATATTGAAGAAGCTCTCCACATCAGAGGTAACAATTCTGTAGGATATTTCTCCGTTTTTATATGGGTCCTTGTCTGTTGCATTGACTTGACCTACTTTAATTCTGATGGGGGTCCCACTGGTGTGATTGTCAGTTTCTGGGGTGGAAAAGTCATACAGTGGTTCTGTGAACTCCGGGTCATGGTCATTTACATCCTCCACTGTGATGGTCAATGACGCCTGGAAACCAAATGATACTACGTTTTAAAAATTAGCCAACTCTTTATTTTTCCAGTTAAGATGACAATGGAATTAGCAGAGTTGTCCATGAGATGGTTTACTGTGTCAGCCCTGACACAGTCAAATTTTCGCAACACAGTAAGATCTGTGATAATCAACCATATCATTTGTGTTAGTGAATTAGTGATTGAGAATAGTTGTGTGTGTGTGTATGCTTTTGTATTAAATTATAATGAATACTGGTTCAGTTGTGCATTTGATCACAAAAATACTGCAAATATTAGCGCTTCACATAAAGTCTGCAACACCGTAAAATTTCAAATGATGGAGAACCATGGATTAGTATTCGAATTTGTAAAACTGCATGATTATTAAAATGTACATTGTAACCCTGAAATAATCTTTTTATTGACTGTAAACATTTATAACAATGAGTTCCAGTGAAACATGGGTGATCCATGTCACATGCTGTTTTACTGATGAATAAATAAAAATACTGTAAACCAACTATCATCTTTTATTTGCGATTCATCAGTTTAAAATCAATCCACGACGATTAATTTCCGCGACTCAGGAAACATTCTCTACAAAAACGTAGCAAAATAAATGGTTCATGGCTATTTATATTCGCGATTAAATGTAGGTTTTGAAACTTGTGAATATATCTCGCATGCAAATAAAGGTTGCTTTACAGTAATGAGATCATGAAACACTAGAACACTCGTAATAGCTGTTACAAAACCGAGACCCATTGAAATAGCTGCCAGGTCTTGATCACAAACTGAATTCAAACTGAGACAAATTTTACTTCAGGCCAAATTTCCTGAAAATGAGGCTAGACTACAAGTTATTCCTGCAGTCTATAGCTGATGCCTACCTGATTGCTGTTTTGTCCATCTGTCACATTGATGTTGACCTCATACATCTCCTTAATGTCAATACTTATCTGCTTCTCCAGCTTTATCACTCCAACCTGGAAGTCTCCATACACTTCTCTCTCAATTGAGAAGTATTCTGGAATAAAATCCAAAATGATTACAATAACTGAAAAATGATTGCTTTCTTATATTCCATTTACCTTTAGCAGAACAAACAAGAAGTCTGTGAGTGAATGCAGAACAAACAAGAAGTCTGTGAGTGAATGCTCACTAGTAATACCCCTACTGTGATGTGAATATACACTCTCATGTTGACATCAAATTCATACAAAAATGAATCCCACCATTTGGCATGCCTAAACAAAGATTGTGCTAAAATTCAAGCATCTGTGATGAGTAGTTGCTGAGAAAACTGCGACAAAAATTTGTTACGGACAGACGATGCACAGGTAAACAGGAAGTTGACATGGGATTCCAACAAAAATGAATACCACCATATGGCATGCTTAAACAAAGATTGTGCTGAAATTTCAAGCATCTGCGTTGAGTAGCTAGCTGGTGAGTCAGATTAACCTTTTATCAATATTTGACAGCTGGTGAGCCAGGTTTACCTTGATCAGCCCCTGATAGCTGGTCAGTCATGTTTACCTTTATAAGCACCTGTTAGCTGGTGAGTTAGGTTTACCTTTATCAGCACCTGTTAGCTAGTGAGTTAGGTTTACTTTTATCAGCACCTGTTAGCTGGTCAGTCATGTTTACCTTTATCAGCACCTGTTAGCTGGTCAGTCATGTTTACCTTTATAAGCACCTGTTAGCTGGTGAGCCAGGTTTACCTTTATCAGCACCTGTTAGCTAGTGAGTTAGGTTTACTTATATCAGCACCTGTTAGCTGGTCAGTCATGTTTACCTTTATAAGCACCTGTTAGCTGGTGAGCCAGGTTTACCTTTTATCAGCACCTGTTAGCTAGTGAGTTAAGTTTACTTTTATCAGCACCTGTTAGCTGGTCAGTCATGTTTACTTTTATCAGCACCTGTTAGCTGGTGAGTTAGGTTTACCTTTATCAGCACCTGTTAGCTGGTCAGTCATGTTTACTTTTATAAGCACCTGTTAGCTGGTGAGTTAGGTTTACTTATATCAGCACCTGTTAGCTGGTCAGTCATGTTTACCTTTACCAGCACCTGTTAGCTGGTGAGCCAGGTTCACCTTTATCAGCACCTGTTAGCTAGTGAGTTAGGTTTACTTTTATCAGCACCTTTTAGCTGGTCAGTCATGTTTACTTTTATCAGCACCTGTTAGCTGGTGAGTTTGGTTTACATTTACCGTATTTGGCCAAATACACACTTTTTTTCCAGATTATTTTTTTGGGAGAAAGGGATGCCTATTTTACACCACAATGGGATTTTGGCAGGTTTTTCTTTCATTTGAAGCACGACTATCATGCGGACATACTGTAGTATTACCTAGAAACATAGCAAATGTCTTGTTTACCACTATGTTTAAAACCTTAGTAAATTATTGTTGGAACACAAACTTGTTGAAAATGTTACATTTATAATCTGTTTATTGTTAAATTATATTGAAAAGCTAATTAAATTAATTTGAGCTGCATACTCATTCGTCTCTGTGTACGCCGCCATTACTGATGTTATTTATAAACGTTTACACATTCCTTTGCCACATGCTTGCGTAATCATAGTACACATGTACCTAATCAACCAGACACTCGATTTTAAAACAAGAAGCCCATGGGCCACAATGCACACCTGAGTAACTTTGGCGCTGCTGTTCTTCACCTGATTTCCTCCTTGTAATACCTATTCATTTTGACAATTTAAACTCCCCCTTTACCCAAGGATGCTTTGTACCAAGTTTGGTTAAAATTGGTCCAGTGGTTCTTGAGAAGTTAAAAATGTGAAAAGTTTACAGACGAACGGACAGACGGACTGATGACAGACAGTGGATGATCAGAAAAGCTCACTTGAGCTTTCAGCTCAGGTGAGCTAAAAATGATAAGCAACTTTTTAATGAAATACAATGAAACAAAGTATTTGGGTTTCAAATAAGATTACCGTGATGTATAAAATTATGACTAATGTTGCTAAATAAAGTTTTAATTTCATCTGTTCAAACTGAAAATCTACAGTATCTCGTGCTTTGTTGAAATAAAATTATTTCTGCAAGGATAAAGATGACATATAATGTCAAGATTTCCGTTAGCTAAAAAGAAAAAAAAAATGCAATAACATCTCATTCTTTGTTGAATAAAATCATTTCCACAAAAAGATTACCGTGATGTTTAATAAGTTCAAGATTGTCATGGGCTTAAAAAATATATATTTAGCCTTTATAAATTTAATAGAACTCTTACAATATCTTGTTGCTTTGTTAGCTTAAACAATCAAGAATTATGCAAAAATCTTTCGTGCTTTTTGAAATTTAATTTTTTCTATGAAGAATACAGTATTACACAGCCATGCATAAAATCGGAACTACCGTAAACTCAAAAACCAAAATCCGAGAATGAAAAATTATCGTGCTTGAATTTTTCGATACATTATTTCCACAAAGATTTTAAGTAAAATGTACCATGATATAAACCAAACAAGTTTAATGCTTGGTCAATTTTTAGACTGCATATAATACAACCAAACTGCTTTTTTTCCAAATTTTTTGGCCCAAAAAGGGAGGTACATATCAGGACCTGTTAGCTGGTCAGTCATGTTTACCTTTATCAGCACCTGTTAGCTGGTGAGTCAGGTTAACCTTTTATTAGCACCTGTTAGCTGGTGAGTCATGTTTACCTTTATCAGCACCTGTTAGCTGGTCAGTCATGTTTACCTTTATAAGCACCTGTTAGCTGGTGAGTTAGGTTTACCTTTATCAGCACCTGTTAGCTGGTCAGTCATGTTTACTTTTATAAGCACCTGTTAGCTGGTGAGCCAAATTTACTTCTATAAGCACCTGTTAGCTGGTGAGTTAGGTTTACTTATATCAGCACCTGTTAGCTGGTCAGTCATGTTTACCTTTATCAGCACCTGTTAGCTGGTGAGTTAGGTTTACTTATATCAGCACCTGTTAGCTGGTGAGTCATGTTTACTTTTATAAGCACCTGTTAGCTGGTGAGCCAGGTTTACTTTTATAAGCACCTGTTAGCTGGTGAGTTAGGTTTACTTATATCAGCACCTGTTAGCTGGTCAGTCATGTTTACCTTTATCAGCACCTGATAACTGGTAGGTCAGGTTTTTATACTTTGGGTTGTAATCACAATCTGTAGCTGTGACTCGGTACACCAAGAATCCCTTTTTGCTCCCTTCCATTACCACTGCATTCATGTTAGTCATTTCAAACTTGGGGGTGCAATCATTGATGTCTGATACATGTATCTCAATCTAAACACAAAAATGATTACTTAAAACACACAATACTCCCCCCTTTCCCCAAAAAGTGAAACACTAGACAGCCTGACTCTCAGTCATAAATCAGTATAAAACACTATCTTACAACTAACAAGTTTTTACATATGCATTCTGAATAATTTTAGCCTGTTTAGTTTAGAGCTGAAACCAATGTTCGAACACTTGCAAATGAATAGTAAACGGCGAATATTCAAATGGAAATTTAGTATTTGAATATTAGGTCAGGTGTCTAGCACTTGCGTATTTTCTTGGTTGATAAAACTGTATCAGCACTTTCTTTGCTGATTAGAACTTAAAATTATTACACTGTATAAGAATTTATGGCAACTTTATCCCGTCAATGCTGCCACTTCCTGTTGACTCCATTACATTAGAATCTAACATAAAAAGCCACTACCAGAAATATAAGTAAAAATTTAAACAAAGAATAAAAAAAAAAATGTACGTCTCAATGTAGATCATTTTGATTATCTGCTCAGGATATTTCATTTTCACAACATAAGATTTTATTTACCACTACCAATTACCTTACCAATTACATGCCCGTCATTTCAATTTGTTTTTTATTTTTAATTACGGATTTTATTAAGGAGGGATTCTTCTCTGGTTTCTGACTAAATGAAATACTCAAAGTATATTGCTTACATGTCTTTTATATTTAGATGTTAAGGATTTTAATGATCATAATTTTCTTTCTTTTTCGTAACTGTACAATTTAAAATGATAATGGTATACTGACTTTGAAATCTAGCAGGGACTATATTTATGGCGGAATGGCAATGTATGAAAATATCTCCTTTTCTGCTTCTCAAAATTACTACAGAACAATGAATTTAAAAGGCAATTTCAAACAATCAAAGGCTTAAAGAATTTTTTATAGTAACTAAAATTAATAATAATGGACTAAAGTTTTAAAATATATCAAATAAATATGATTTTCTAGACAAATGGCAATCTTATAGCCTTTGAAAGCTAAGGACTCTAAGAACAGATTCGAATAAAAATTCCGTAAAAAACGACATTTTTCTCTCTAAATAAATGGTCAAAACTTTTGGTATTTGTATCGTTCTGTACCTTTACCTGACTACTTTACAATACGTAAAAACAATAAAATTTTAAATATACAAAGCATATTAAAATAACTAATATTCCCTAAAATTTTAAGAAAAATAGAGAAAATTCAGGTTACTCAATATCTATTTAGTTTAACTGTTTATCTCAATTTGATATTATCACCTGGTAGACCTTTTGTTATATCATGTTTTATGTAAAAAGACATGATTGGCAACAATATTTGATTCTTAACAACAAGGAAAAGATGATGACCTTGACCTTTTAATTAAACGGTCAAATATAATGTAATTGTTGTCATCATTTAATGATATTGTACGTCTTCTTAAATCTGTGAAAATTTCATTAATTTTTAAATATGATAAACACAAGAAGAATCCCTCCTTAAATCATGCAAGTAACAACTGTATATATGCATATTCTTTTTTATTAAAAATAATTAATCCTAAAACTTATTTATTTACAGTATTTGAAACACCTTTAGTTACAGACTGATCTTAGCAGCATGTTCAATGATGTGTAAAGTGGATACCCCAATAATGCATAAAGACCTTCTCTTTTCTACAGCATTTGTCATTTTTAATATCAAACTGTGAAGAGTCCTTAATTGTGTTATCCATTGACAGAATTTTATAAAATGTAGCATGCTAAGATGGTTTCCTATTAAGTACGGAAATTTTCTCTTTTTCCCACTGCATTTTGGGCAAGTTTCTAAACTTGCATCTTATAGAATTAAAGATCTATCCAGCAAGATCAGCAACATAAAAAAGAATGTATCGGCATATCATCTGTGAAAAAGCTTCTTTCAGCTTGTTTCTCCAAAAAATTAACTAAGTTGCAGAAAGATTTTATATCTGTTATTAATGTGTATCATTTTTTTGTCTTCTTTTAAAGAAATACTTGCAAAAACGAGACTGACATATGGTTTTTTTTTTTATTATATAACACAGCAATCTAACACTTAAAAAAGAGACTTAGATTTCTCTATAAATGTTCACCTTTTCAATTATTCACTTATGGGGAAAAGTTGCATGCCTATCTAAAACAATTGACAGCTTATTGTCAAGTAACTAAACTGATAATTTTATTTCTTATATACCCAACTGTGTATAATTCAAATTTACTGTTAATTTTGTGCAATCACATGACAGTGTGATTCAATTTTCTGGATCATTACACTGAATCTATACCACCCCTCTCTAAAACTGATGATGCATTACACACTATACGTGATGTTTTTTTTTCTTGCCTATCAAAAAGTTCCTTGAAAAAAAAAATGCTTTGTTTAATGGATAAAAGTTATATATCTGATTCCAAAAGTTTTCTTTTATTATATTTTGTTATTTGTAGAGGGGTATATAATAAATTTGATGATCTGTGCCTGTCAACTCTTCAGATCAAGTAACTGTTATAATAATAATTATATATATATATAACATTTTAGAAAGAAATACTTTACATAAAAAAATTGACGAACATTCGAATACGAATAGAATAGTATAAGTTCTGAATATTAGAATATTGATTTTTGGTATTTGTTTCAGCTTTAGTTTAGTTACTGGGTAGTTATCACTTACTGTCCCTGTAGATGAAAGAGGAGGTTTCCCATGGTCAGCTGCCACTACATGCAATGTATACAAGGCCAGTCCCTCAGATGTGATAGGTATCCCTTTAGCTTCATGATCCAGTTCTTTTACAACAGTAATTTTGCCCTGTAACAAGAAGCACCTGGGTCTTCACATATAATCAACTGTACCAAAAGGCCAGATTATTTTTCAATTTTTAACTAACACAAATCAGATGTTCTTCTTTCGTATTTACTCCTTCATATATGAACATGACTTCAAATACATGATACTCAGGGATTCCTATTCTATCACATGTGTTTTAAGCTGTTTCATTTTCGGCTTAGCTCATATATGGGAATCACATAATATAGAATTTATTTAATATGATAATATTGGATTTCAATATGTTAAATAATTATTTTGTGGTCAATCAAAACTTCTTTTAATCAAAGAGCTATGCAATGGACAGGCTGATGTGGATAGATATTCAATTTAGTTAAAGGACACACATGGATTTAACTGGAAGAGATAGACAGATACAGAGATGGATGGCTGTCCTGTCTTTTTATTTTCGCAACCTGTCTGCTTTTCCGAGACTCTTCACAATGCTTTTCTGCAATTGGTTTTTACTATATGTTATTTATCATTTCCTTTTTTTGATTCCTCCTTTCTGCGAGTTTTAAATGGTCAAGGTTAGCGCTTAGTATCAAATGGTTGGTGATATTTACCTGTATTTCCCCTACAGTTGGACTCGATAGCAAGTACTAACTTACAGTGTGATAAAATTGGAATAAATTTTGCATTTTACACTGGTCAGTGATGTTTTACACATTATGAGAATTGTTCATCCAGAAACAAACTGTGGTAATAAATGTATTACATATGGAGCTCACACAGAAATGTTTGTTATGTGGATCTTTTAATATCTACACCAGTACTTCTTTTAGTTCTTGTTTTATCCAGTGCTAATTGTTTTAAATCAATGTTCTTATCCAGTGTTTTACAAGATTAACCTGCTTAAAATCCTACTTCCATCTCCAGGTGGTAAGCAGTGAGCAACAGGTTTAATCTGGTTAATGGAAGAGGTACGTTAAAAAAAGTTGTGGAAAAGCAAATAATATAAATGTGGAAAAGCAGTATTACTTATCATGGAAAAGCAGGATTTTTTTCTCCCAAAAAGGCAGTGTAAAGTTGCAGAAAAGTGGAGCTGCGGAGATGGACATTATGATCCTAATTCAACACCTTCCCATTTGCAGATCTTAAGGACATTGGCAAGTCAGGGCTTTCCGGAGAAAAAAGGTTTAATACATGGGTTTTTTCACTTGTAAAATAGTGATTGAGAGTGATCTCCCGTGTAGAATTCTCTAAGCGGTGAAAACCAGTAAAGCGTATGTTATAGAGGTAAACAAAAGCACGTGTACTTCCTTCAACGGGTAGAATCATCTATACAGCAAGAAAGAAAAGTAGTAATGGCTTTGTTGTACATTGTATTCAGGGACAAAGAGCAAACAGGTCGTCATTTACCATAGTTTTGCTCAGTATGCTGGGAAGGGCAAAGATGTGACATATGCTGAAAGGTAGGTCGACCATGCCGACTGAGAACAGTTCTTAGGTCGTGTGAACGAATCAGCATTTCGTAATTACGAATAAAAGTTAAAAATAAATCCATGCCAATATTTTTATGACAATGTATTTCAATCAATTCAGTCATGATAAAAACAATCAACCGGTCACTTGACCAATTTTAGCTGTTAAGGGACGCAACTGAAAAATGATGATCGGTGCCGGTATATCCATGTCTTTTTTCTATATATATATTTTCAACCAAAATATCTAGAAGTCATAGGAAATGAAGTTACAATAATGTATATAATACAAAAACTGTATGAAATAAATGGGATTTGAAGAAATATTATGGTGAAAAATTATGTAGGTCCCTTTTATCAACATTTTACATAGGAAAATGCATTAAGAATTGTAAAAACACTAATTTGACAAAATCTAAAAAAGAATGCTGGATTGGTAGGTAAAACGATCCAGAATATAGCATATTTAGTACATTTAAACCTACTCAAAAGTTCTTGAAAAATTCTATACAATAACCAGGAACCTTGCCAATGTCCTTAATTTGGCTAGGTGAGCTAAGTAATTATGAGAGACATCTCTCAAAGGTCAATCTCTGGCTTTTGTATAAATATATACTCACCGTGTGAATGGATTCATTCTCCATTTGAAAGTGTCCTTCATAATCATCTACCAAAGTAAAGGTCACATGTCCATTCTCTCCCTCGTCTGGGTCACTAACAGTAAGTAATATTGTAAAATTTTTGCTAGCGCTTCCTAAAAAAAAAATTGAAAAAATAATAAAAATTATCAAGCCATAAATACATGTATATCATACAATACTATACTATATGAGTTTAATTTATGCTTACTTTATGAGTGAAAATTTAAAATGAATGCTCTTTTTCTTTAAAGAACTACATGTACTCACCTTCACTAACAGAGTAGATCATGTTTTTGTTCACAAATGTCGGTGTATTATCATTGACATCAAATACTGTTATATTTACCCAGGTAGATGCCTGCAAATCACAAAAAAGACAAAAAAAGTTCATAGAGTTTTAATGATTATTAGATTATCAACATGTTCATACAGACAGGAATCTCATCCTTTTTACATTCTTTTCTTTTGTCAATCTTGACAGCAAACATCTACCCCTAAAAGAGCCAAAATAAGAATAAACTTCAATCTATATTCATGATGAGTGTGTAAGAGTGTTTCATAACTTTTTCAAGTTCATTATAAAAAAAAAATTGGACCTCTTTATTAGCCCTGGTTTAAACAAATTCCATTTTCTTTTTAAGGTATCTGTCACATCTGGCTTTTCTGAGATTTTTTCCATATAAAGTTCAGAATTTCTTAATGATTCTCCTTACATTCAATCTTAATTTAAATCCACATCACATAAGAATACTTTGAAGTGTGTTTATTTGAAAATGCCGGCATTGATTGTTAAAAAAGGCCCTGAAATCTAACCGTGTGGTTTTTCCAACTGTCCTGAACAGATACTTCAAAAGAATAGAATGATTTGTTTTCCCTATCCAGCTTGTGTCCAACACTGAGAGCACCTGTCTTGGGATCCAACTCAAAAGGCAAACTCTGATCTGTAATAACAGTAACAAATTAAAACAATTAATACATCAATAACATTTTTTATATTAAAAAAAATTGTACATGTGTGCGTACAAGCTATATTAAGCAATTTATTTTTAAATGGGTATAAATTTCTGCAACTAAATCTTTCAAAGGCAGTTGGGACCATTCAGTTATCTGTTATTATCATCTCTACTCCATAGCCTACACAAGGATAGAGGATTTAGTGGTAACTTAATCATTTCATTTTCATTTCAAGAAATGTTTTTCTTAAGTTCCTCAAAAAAAAACCCTCATATCAAAAATGTGTATTTGTGAAATAATTGCCTAGCTGTGCTAATATTTTACATGAAATCTTTCAATATTTCATATTAAGTGTACACTGCCATGTCGGAGATACACAAGCTGTAAAAAATCAACTAAGAAGTGTCATAAATGTCCTAAAATAACATACACTGTAAGATGTTGGCAATTGAGATTCAACAACTTCTGTTGAATAAAATACATTGTACTAAAAACAAATACATATACATGCATACAATGGCTTTATCCCAAAGTTACACTTGTGTGATAAACTAACAAATAGTTTTAATTATTTTACCTACAATTCATATAGAACTTAGAATTTTAATATAATTAATCATACTACTTTTAAAAGTGAATTGTATTCATTACATCGCTCATTTTCAGGAATATTTTGTGGAGAATAGTGGCCGTATTTCTATTTGATTGAAATATTTGTCCATATAAATGTATTAATTATATGATTGAATAATTCCCATCTTTCAGCTGAGATCCAACAATGTTAGAAAAATATACTACGTTATATTGACCTGCACGTGATCTTCAAATACAAGGAATTATTTATTCTACATTTGACTAAAAGTAGATAGGGAAATTCCAAATTGATGCAAATAGTTTTGGAAAGTTATTTCACTTGCAACTGACATCCACTCATACAAACATAACACTAAGGCACATAGATTCTTGGGTGAGGGGGGGGGGGAGGGAGGAGGGGGTTGCAGGAGACCTGTCCCTCTCCCCGCCTTTTGAGAATGTTAGGTTTTAATTTAAATTTTAAGGATAAAAAATTTCAATGAAAGCCCCCTCCCCTCGAAAAGTTTATGGACTTTTACATCCCACCAAATGAAATTTTGATTTGGGAGAATTCTTTTCCTTTTTGGGGGGGGGGGGGGGGCTAGTCAAAGATTTGTTTTCAGGTAAGTTGTCAATTTTTTTCCTTTTAATGCCCCCTTTATCAAAATCAATCCTATATATGTGCCTGACATTTATTTTTTCTACATTGCACCTAAACTTGAATTAAAAATTCCAAAATAATACAACTAGTTTTTTTTTAACCCCGTTTCTCTCATTATGTTCGGCTAGTACTTCAGTACATGTGAACAAGTAAGACGGCACATATTGCTTTATAAGTGTGTGTCATTTAATCATTGAATCAAATAATAAAACAATTATTGCTGTTTTTTCGGTCAATACGATGATTTAGCCACCTTCAAAGTACAATATTCACCTCGCCCTTCGGGCTTGGTGAATATTGTACTCCTCAAGTGTCTAAATCATCGTATTGACCTCAAAAACCAGCAATAATTGTATAATGTACATGTATGTAATACTGTGTACTACCAGGGATGTATATATGTCCCTGGTACTACATCACATGCATTTATTTGAATTAAGTATTTTTTTCTAATGCACATCACAAAATTTGATATACAGCAAATCAAATAGCTTTTGACAGGCAAACCTTTTTTTCTAAAGACGAAAGGAAGGGGGGGGGGGGGGGGGAGCCTCCGAAAATATCCTGTTTACTATGGGCCTGTGCTACATGTGTACCATCTATCTTTCCAATGATAGAGTCTTCCGTACAATGTCAAGTCCCAGCCCTCATGGGTTATCTAAATTAGCCCCAAATTTTTTTAAATAAAACAATAGGCTTGTCAGGGATAGAATTTAACATTTATGCATATTAAAATACTATCACACAAAGTAGTCTGATTTTAACGAAGGGTAAACCTATGTCACCTTTTGGAGTTACCAATGAACTCGTCCATGCATTGACAGTCTTTGGAAAACTTACCGAGTTTCCTATGCAAACGAAAGCATGAAATCTCTGTATAGAAAGCGTGAAGCTGGGGAGCATCACTAATTATTCCTTCGTCATAGAATATAATCCGATATCTAACAATTAATATCTTTGAATATATAGATGTTTTCAAGATAACCTTCATTTTTGTTTCTAGAAATGTTATTTACACAAATAATACATTTTCATGTTTTTAAACTTAGTAAATCAATGACCTAGCATTGTTTTAGATAACTCAACCCCCTCTAGGACTCGAGTAAAAATTCTTCTTGGAATTCCATAAAGGATATAACCGAGGTAAAACTCTTTTATCTTTGAATGTTGCATTTCATGACATTATGGACTTGGAGATTACAAGTCTGTACATAAGTATTTTCTTCAAATACTTTGGATTTACACTACATAAATAATCCTTTGGTGAACACATAAAAAGGAAAATCATTAGAAAGAAGGAGGCATGAAAGTTCAATCTTACGAAGTTACTTACTATCATGAGGTATAATTTCATATCTCAATTTGTTTTTGTCAAGTCCATCCCTATCATATGCAGAAATGTTGTGAGGAGGGTCCAGTCCTCCCAATGAAACACCCTACAAAAAGCAATATATCATAAACAAGAGGCCCAAGGGCCTTAATGGTCACCCAAGTATAATACAACACTGTAAAGAATCTATAGAAGTATAAAATAAAACAAAATAAATGGTAAATGAAGCTACGTTGCCCATAAGAAAGAGAAATAAGATGATCAGGGATGAACAAATAGTCTAGTACCCAGAAACAAATCATAAAGTAGATAAATTTACCTGCCTGTACTTGTCAGTGCTAATACATGTACACTCCCAGTTGTCAATATCACCATGCAGACTAGATATTACAATAGTCCTTAAGCACTTAATAACCCCATCACATTCCCTAACAATGGCCTCTCTTAGTCTTTGAAGAATATTTAATGTACAAAGATAACATATTTTTGTCTCATTTTTATTTATCTACTTACAAGCCTATCTGACCATTAAGTACAGGTCCACGTAAGAATCAGGCAATCGGTGATAAGTCGAATATTACATATTCGGCCAATATTTTTTTATATTATTACTTGATACAGTAGTAATTAAAATAAATCATGATTTTTCCAAAAAGGCACATCCAGGCTGTGATATGTTACTATAAATAGATTTTGGCATATATGGGCCAAAATGTCAACCAAAAAAGAGGAAGTTCAGCACAGAAGTAACAAGTGTTGTTGTTTTTCATAAATTATCTAACCCATTTTATTTTGAGAGGACTGTCTGTATCCTTCTTGTATTAAGTGTCATGGAGTTGATATCTATGTCGTATCCATAGTAACCACTGTAATTATATGTCAAGACATTTTGGATGTCACAAACATTGTGAATTTAAAATAATATTATTAAAAACAGCAAACACATTATGTAGCCTATTACACATGGAAAAATAAAACAACTGCTTATTATTAGTTTTCCAGTTTAAAAAGTGTGGAAAAATCAATTAGCAGTTTTTAATGAAAAGGAAAACTATTGAGAAATTTTGATAAATTGCTTGAAGTTTGACAAGATTTTTTCCTAAATCTAAGTGCATTGTGTGTAAATTTTAACTTTTATTGAATTGTTTCTTAATTACATTTATCACATTATTATGAATTTTTCTATTCAATGTACCAAGTTTACTCTGGAATTAATTTTATTTCTCTAAAATAGTTTTGGAGAGAATTATGATTGGGATCGAAATTCTGTATATTAAGTACCCAACTTTGATGATTCCAGATTTTTTTCTGTTTTTATTTTAAACAGCTGTTAAGTACAGGTCCACGTAAGAATCAGGCAAAATCAAATTTTCGTGATAAGTCATTGTTTGAGAATTGACTTGAAACTTCACATGGTTATGCATCAGGACATATATATTACATGTGTTCAATGATTTGGAAATATTCAGGCTTGTTCTAATTTAATAGGCAATATATTGAGAAAATATTATAAACATGAGTAGTACAAATCTATACAATGGTATGATATTGAAACCTTAAAAAATTAAAACAGCAAACGTTATAAGAGAAAGTGATAATGAACAACGAAACAGCTATTTAAAAATTATAATTTTAAATTTAAAAAAGTTTGGAAAATTGCGAGTCTAGTGTTTACTACCCAGATAATTACTTCCAATATTAGTGAATTTCAGTTATCGTTCTTGATTTATGACTTAATTTGTCGCTAGAGGGCGCTCTGTTGTTAAGTACGCTGATGCCGAAAAAACAGAATTAAATTGATTAAACATCGAATTTGGCATTTTATTTTAGTTTAATTAATCTACTGAAAATTAAGGAATGTCTAACTTCAAACCAAACATCTTTTTCCTTGAAATCTAGCGATACAGTGGGTGTCAAATTTGATCGGGTTCAGGTTGCTTGAAACTTGTCTGTTGTCATATGCGGATTTGGGAAGGATTATTATAGTTTTACAGTTTGACTGCGTTATCAAAGATGCACAAGAGTTTATAACAGACTTCAGAGAAAATTGGTCTTCGCGTTACACAACGCACTTTAAACAATCGTTGCAAAACAGCAGTTTTATTGAAACTCTCAATCATAAAGTCATGTTGGCGAGGAAATGTGGACTTATTCGAGTTATGCGACACTCGATTTGAGAACAACAACATAGCGTATATAACACTTGATTGTGGTTATTTCAAGACACAATTATATATCTAACATTTATGGATTTATTTCCCGAAATTCTGCTGAAATATGGAAATTATCTTCTCACCAAAAAAGGAGTTCATGTAATGCAACATGTGCAAGTAAGTAGTTTTTTTAAGCTAACAGTGAGGAAAACCCTTTTGATGTCAACCAAAAATAATAAGCAAGCTTTTTTCCATTAAGCTTTAAGTGCCTTAATTTTTGGTCTTTTTCAAAATTATTTCAAAGTTGGGTGTAATTTTTTTTCTTCTTGAAAATCCTTCCTATGAATTAGGAGAACCCCATTTTATAAAATGGGTATAGATATTTATTTCATTTTAAACTACCAATTAAAAAAAATATCTTGCTTAAGACTTTAAAAATGTTTTTTAAAGATAAGTAATTAAATTGTTTCATAATATTAAATTTTATGCTTATTCAGAGTTTAAAATACTGGGTAATATGCCACTGCATTTAATTTTTCAGACAACTTCAAGTTGCAGAAGAGTTCTTTGGTCTTCTTAAACAGTCGAGGTTTTCTTCTCCTGTCCAAACTTCAAAATTTAGTGAAAAAATGAGGAAACAAACTTTACGAATGAAAGAATTTTCTAAAATCACATCGAGCAGTGAATCTGGTGCCTTTTGTTGTGTTTAACCATCATAAAAGCTAGTGACAGTAATGTAGGTAGAACTTTAGTCCTACATTGCTCATTAACTTTTGTAAACAAAGGGAACATGGGGAATAGCATACCGGTTGAGATTTAGAGTGGCGAGTACTATATGAGAAAACAACGGAAACCATCCAAAAGTAGAAGCACCACAATCCATATATTAAATTGATCAAGTTCAGAATTTTGAATGTGCCTGTCTGCTTGAAAAGTACAGTAGTTTAAAAAGTTGTTTTTTTTTTTTTTTTTTTTTTTTTTTTTTAAATCATGGGATGGAATGATGATTATAAAGAACTGATATTGTAACAACTTTTCTTCTACAAATTTTGATCTTTGTATAATGCACAATGTAATTTATAAATCATGTAAATTGTTAACATTTAATAAACATGTTAATTTAAACCTTTTTGCAAATTGGTCATTGTTGATTTCTTAAGAATAAACTTGGAAATTTTCATATTAAAACATTTAGTTTAGTATGTTGAACAACATGACATATTTGTTAAATATGCAATTAAAAATATCATATTGCTGCTCATATAACGGTACAGTAAATCAGATGTTGCAGCTGCATCATTTTCTGCAGTTGAACAAAATCCTTTACATTCCTTTCATGTACATGTAGTATGATTTAGAAGCCTGAGTCAAAGAACTTAATGAATTTATAATTTTATCTATAAAAGTTGACAGTTTTAGGACATTGCTAGCAGAGACCAACATACTCTGACTTGTTTATACATAATAATTATATCTTCATGTAGCATAATGTATTCTCTTTATTCTCTGTTGTTATATATAAGTTAGTATTTGACAAACAATAAAAGCCGAAAAACTAAATGAAAAAAAAAATAAATGCTTATATAAGAAGAATCACCCAAATAGATAGTGATTGGTCATCATGTTTACTATATGAAAAAAGTAATACAAGAAAACTGGATGTGCCTGCTTAGTTTCAACAGCTGTTTAAAATAAAAACAGAAAAAAATCTGGAATCATCAAAGTTGGGTACTTAATATACAGAATTTCGATCCCGATCATAATTCTCTCCAAAACTATTTTAGAGAAATAAAATTAATTCCAGAGTAAACTTGGTACATTGAATAGAAAAAATTCATAATAATGTGATAAATGTAATTAAGAAACAATTCAATAAAAGTTAAATTTTACACACAATGCACTTAGATTTAGGAAAAAATCTTGTCAAACTTCAAGCAATTTATCAAAATTTCTCAATAGTTTTCCTTTTCATTAAAAACTGCTGATTAATTTTTCCACACTTTTTAAACTGGAAAACTAATAATGAGTAGTTGTTTTATTTTTCCATGTGTAATAAGCTACATAATGTGTTTGCTGTTTTTAATAATATTGTTTTAAATTCACAATGTTTGTGACATCCAAAATGTCTCGACATATAATTACAATGGTTACTATGGATACAACCTAGATATCAACTCCATGACAACTAATACAAGAAGGATACAGACTCCTCTCAAAATAAAATAGGGTTAGATAATTTATGAAAAACAACAACACTTGTTACTTCTGTACTGAACTTCCTCTTTTTGGTTGACATTTCGGCCCATAAATGCCCGAATCTATTTATAGTAACATATCACAGCCTGGATGTGCCTTTTTGGAAAAATTATGATTTATTTTAATTACTACTGTATCAAGTAATAATATAAAAAAATATTGGCCGAATATGAAATATTCGACTTATCACCGATTGCCTGATTCTTACGTGGACCTGTACTTAAAACTAAGCAGGCGCATCCTGTTTTCTTGTATTACTTTTTTCATATAGTAAACGTGATGACCAATCACTATCTATTTGGGTGATTCTTCTTATATAAGCATTTATTATTTTTTTATTTAGTTTTTCAGCTTTTACTGTTTGTCAAATACTAACTTATATATAACAACAGAGAATACATTATGCTACATGAAGACATAATTATTATGTATAAACAAGTCAGAGTATGTTGGTCTCTGCTAGCAATGTCCTAAAACTGTCAACTTTTATAGATAAAATTATAAATTCATTAAGTTCTTTGACTCAGGCTTCTAAATCATACTACATGTACATGAAAGGAATGTAAAGGATTTAATTTGTTCAACTGCAGAAAATGATGCAGCTGCAACATAAATAAGGGCATCCCATCCACTAGGACACGGAAAGCAGGGGACCACAATTCTTTGAATTTGCTTGTTAGTCATTTTGATATGGAAA